TAACGGCCGAGCTTTTATGCCGATATTTGGTATTTTTTGTAGTATTTCTCTGACAAGGTCTCAATATTAAACAAACTAAATATAATCTAAATACAATGTCCTGTCATCAAACCTAGCGCTACATAGGCATTCCGGATCGGTGTACTCGGCTAGTTTATCTCTGTGTGTCTGTGTATTTTACCACTGACGTACATGGGAAATGGAACTATCTAAGCATTAAACAGCATTCTGTTCCTTGTTACTGACCTATAACACGGAACTGGATTAAATACAAAATGAATAACGCGCGTTATGATAAATTGGGTGCAATCCTGTTCCGTGTTTTAGGACCATAACATAGAATGAATCACATTTCTAAATTTGAATTTGGCGAAAAATATAGTTTGTGAAAATAAACACAAAAATATCGATACAATTTCCATTATTTAACAAATCAATATATTCAATTCACATTTTATAAATGTCTTCCATAAAACGGTGAATATTATTAAATAATAGTGTCTTTTGCTTATCTGATTTTTATTGCCGAGGGGAAGAGCGATCCAGTAGTTAGTCGGACCGGTTACTATTGGTTACAAGAACTGATAAAAAAAATGGCCAAGAAGTGACCGAGCTTAGACACCTAGGAACATTCTAAATCCATTACGAGAAACAGCCCCCTTCGTCTCTTTGAAAGATAAATATCTGAACAAGAGAACCAAGACGCATTTTTTATAAAGATTACGCATTGATATTGCATAATTGATCATGTTAATTTAATATTGCATATTAACAATAAATATCCTACATGTATTCTACATCCCTCAATACTTAACCTCTTTTTCAGTCATCTTTTTTCAAAGTTTTCTGCACATGTATCACAACCAACCTGTTTGCTATTGTTTCGTTCGCATATACTATGAAAAGGCAAAGCCTTAAAAGAGCGGAGCTTTTGTTGATCTCTGATATTTACTGATTCAGAATGAGATAATACTGCTTTTAATGAGATGATACTGCTTTCAGAATGAGGTAAGATAAAATGTATTTAAAGTCGGCTAGTCGTGGGATAACAATACAACATCAACCCAAATGAGATTAAGACCGACATAACAATAGGGGAGATCGGGGCAAATTCGGCCCTTTTTTTAAAGTCCGTTTTTGAATACTGGCAGCACGTCCGTTTTTGAACATTATTTAATTTTCCCTGTCGGATGATCGGATAGCCGATCGAGCCCCGCCATGGGATAAGGTCGGCCAGGCATTTGGGTAAACTCGGCCCCATTGGAATCAGCTTAATTATGACGTTATAAAGCATACAACGTCAGATTTTCCGCCAATGTTACGACTTGCTATGTGTTACATGGGCCGAACTTGCCACGGTATCATTGGCCGAAACTGTCCGGGCCCAAAGTAATATTTCAACAAATTCTTATTGTACAGGCTTGGATAGCTAGAAGCGAGATCATGATTTTCTTTTTACCCTCTCAAAAGTATTTTTCTCCTGTTTAGTAATTTTAAATTAGAGTTTTCTTCGCCATTTTTTCGTGTGAATGCCCAGCCAACTAAACTGCTAAGATTTTTAGAGTTGTAAATATTAGCTAAAAAACAAAAATATCAGGGGTGGCCGAACTTGCCCCGGTTTCCCGTATGTAAATAATTTGTATCGTTGATGATTGCTAAAAATGTATTCGCAATATATTTTTTGCATCAATGACGCCATTTCCAAAGCTGCTAAATTAGATATTTGTTCTTGTCCGTAACGTATATGATGGGTCGGTTGGCGCAGTGGATAGCGCGCTCGTCTTTACCAAGATGGCGGGATTCAATCCCAGCTACCTGCCCAACCACGCAAGTTTTATCCGGATACTCCGGCTTCCTCCCAAATTAAGAATTAAATCCTCTGCTCGCTTCCGTCAGGTCACAAAAAGAATGATTGAAATAAGTTGGGGAAAAAGTGTTTCGTAATTGCTATAGAAAAAATGCATATTACATATTTGACGATAAGTCTATAAAAGTAAATGTACAGAGATGTTAGTTAAAAAAGATGAAATTAAAAAAAGAAACATTGTAATACTTTGATGGAACTGAGATTGTCGTTATATTGATATCTAAAATTCCTGTTCTATCCTGAAACATCGGATTGAATTCAAGTTTTGTAACTGTCACTGAGGTTTGCCAGGTGAATGATGCCAAATAAAATAAACAGTTTATGTCTGTAAAACTAGTTATAAATCGGCATGCGTTATGAAAAAGTGATACGTTGCTAAAAAAAATGCGTTGAACTCGGGTTCGTTGTCTGGACAATTATTGTTGATTTCGACATAAATGAATTATCCATTGTTTCTTATATGATGCATACAAATTTTAACAGAACATGGTTGATTACAAAAAGAATCTTCAGAAAACATCCGCGTATTTATTTTTTGTGCAAAAACTGAAATTAAAAAGTCATAAAGCATCGACAAAGAGAAAAATGCAACGGCTATCAATTCCAAGATTTCCCGGTTATTTTTCATCCTTCCGGAAATAACCGATGAATGCCGATGGAGTGTGACGTGCTTGTGACGTCATAGTAGGATAATCTCTGAACGACGTTTCATGCCTGCTAGTATCAAAATGTATGTGATAGATTCTTTTCACTCAGAATGTATATTAGTTTTTCCCTAAATAAATAAGTAATAAAACATGGGTATTGTTTTCACTTTATGAAGATGTTCATGTATGGGTTGAAACACAATTGTCTTTGCTTCAAGGATACACTTCCTGTTTCCCCACTAGACGTCTACTTACGCACGAAAACAATTAAAGACAATGTGTAGAAAGGGGAAGCAACTCTGTTTACGCACGCATGTGTAACCATTAAAGAGCTTCGCCGGTTCGGCGCCCGAGAGCTACGCTCTTATTAAACATTTTAATCTTTAACTTCAAGTTAATATAATTCGTTATGTGAACGTCTGTTTTTGTTTTAATTTCTGTTATTGTAAACGAAAGTAAAAATGAGGTACAACAGTTTAATTTAGGTAATCTGTTTATTTATTTATCTTTTAGAAGATAAAACAAACTTTATCAGGTCTACATCACCAGCCTTTCTAATAGGTTGTAGCACTGCTAGTAGGGTGTGGAATATGCATGAAGTGAGCAAGCTCCTGTAACCTGTGAAATAAATGAAAATTAACTTTAAGACAAGTCTTCCTATAGTGTTCATCGAAATATATATACATTTGAATGACATTGTCAATATATAGCCTCTTTGAAAGTTGTGTCGTTGATGGGACTTTAATTACCATGCAGCACGAGACATAATTCTAAGCGTATTAATACAACACTGATCGGAACTACAATATCCAATGTAAATAAACATGACGGCGGCTTAAATATCGCTATACATTGTGAGATTTGACAATGTCATTGTAAATTTATTTGCAAAATAAAAAATAAAATAAAAAAAATACTTTTATTACAACAAAAACAAGACCAAGGTCTGCAATATCGTACAAAATGCACATCGGTTGAAATCATCAATGCCGGTAATGGAAACAATTTTAACGTTCATGCAATTTATCACAAATAGCGTCTGTTACACTCCACTGATCAATACACATATTTTATAGACCTACTGACACATATGTTACAGACCTACTGATATGTGTCACAGCACACATAAGCATTTCAGACATGTGTAATGAACCCCTGTGCTTCGTTGCAAGATCACTCACTTCAAACGCTATCAGTTTCACGCGTCCTGTAGCCACTGTTTCCACGAGGCTGGTATAGAATCTACAGACTGTAGTCAGATTCCCATACAATCAACAAATAAATTCACGTCTGGATTCTTCACAAAATGAGCAAAGAGAAACGTTTGAACTTACTTCCAAAAATAACTCCCTCGTGGAGCGCAAGATTGGATTTACGGTGTTCACTGTATTTATCCATGCGCTAAATTTGTTCCGGGGAAAAATCGAAACTATTTCAAATCTAACTTTCAGCTCAGAGTTCTATTGATAAACCTAAATCACCCTATAGACATATCGTACGCAATTGTATTGTAACTAAATTGTGGAATAACATTGAAATACTACTTTGTTTACCAATCAGCACGCGACAAACACGCTGTTCAAACTATTGAACGAAATTGTGTGGACTGTCGATAAGGCGGGCGTTTCAAATTTTAGATATAAATAACAGGTTAATAAAGAACATAAGAGGCAGAGAAAACGTAAATATAAGTATTGAACTGTTTTTGTATGGTATATATGATCTATTTGAATGACACAGCTTTGCAAGAAAACAAATCATTATGCGCTAGCGTATTTATTATTGTTCTATGCATCTGAATGTCCTTAATTGTCTATCAGCAACAAACAATACGAAATCATTTAAGGACGGGCCTCTGTTAGTGAAATGTATGTGTGCAAGTGTTTGAAGCGGAATGTTGATTAAATCGCGGATCTAGTGTTGACTTTAAAAGCATATATACTTACGATGTGCACACCATAGGACAAGCTGCGTGCGTAATGGTGTTGACGGTGCCTGCAGCGACTTGGGTGTCTACAAGCTTGTTACATTCAAGGCTACATTGTGACTTCCTGGAATCAGAACCGAGCTGATCGACCAGATCTGTAACTAGCAGCTTAATCTCATCTGCGTGAAATATATTCACTGAAACAGAAGATCAAATGTATGAGCTTTATTCGGTTTAACATGTTCACATAGCACAGTCACTGACAAAGCAAATAACTGACATATTCGATTATACACCAATTGTTCATTGCGAGAACTAGCATGAAAAGCACAATGATTTCATATTTAATGTCAGTCGTGCATGAGTTCAGGATTGGGTGACACCGCCTGAAACAGAAAGTAGATAGAAAAAGAAAGAAGACAGAAAAGATAGGAAACAAAAAAAAAATCCTAAGTGTAACAATCGGGGCAGCATATCAATTTTGGTATTTTCCATGTCACTCTTATAGGACATAGACGAATTACCCCCCAATTCTGCAGGGGGGGGGGGGGGGGGGGGGGGGGGCATACTTAGTCGCATCTCGTGATCATTTTGTGGGGCACTGCAAATCTATTCTATTTCCCGAACCTGCACTGGTAGGATAACTACATCTATGCTTGACTAAGCGAGTGGGAGGAGGATTTGTTTGCTCTATAGTGTTAAGTGTCCTAAAAACTAAGATGGTATTAAAATAACATGCCTCCATATGTGTAATGTATATGTGCTGAAGGCGGGATGTTGGTGTTTGTGCTGGAAGTGATATATGTAACAAAATCGGCCGATAATTAGGTAATAAATGAAAATAAATATAAAAAAAACTAATATTTTTGTATCATAAAGTGTTAGGTACATGTATCAATAGAGAGCAGCATTTTGGTCGAAGGTTCAATTAAGGTCAAATCCTATAATCGGGTTATAGCTGTGCCTTGCTTGACATGTAGACTGTTGCAGGGATATATATAGAACAGGCAAGCACGCCCATCGAAACATAGGTGGATCAGCCACAGAAATAAACTTAGAGAACTATGGAAAGTAATACGGGTATAACTAAAAACAACAAATGCTAGTTTTGATATGGATAAATTGAATCGTTCCATGTGCCTAATTATGCATATGAAATAGCTGTTACGTGCTCATGTAAGGTTAATGCTACAAAGATGTTTAAAAGTACATGGGGACGAATTTTATAAGGAGTCTAGATAAAGGAGTTTGTACGGCCACAATGTTAAGACAACAACGTGGTGTTCAGCGTGTTGTGTAACATACGATGAGAATGTAAGCAGTTTTGATTCAGAAAAAGTTGTAAATAGAAATTAGAAAAGTAAAAATCAATTAAGAAAATATTAACTATGCTTTTCCAAAATGCTACATATAAAGTAGGAATTTACAACTACAATTTATAAGAACCTTTGTTCGTGTCGGCCTGGACACAGAACACGTTGCTTTATCCGCTTGTGCGAACGTTCAACACAAAGGCGAAACGTGGGGTTACTGTCAAGCAGGCATTTGGGCAGACAAACGGTTGTTAAGGCGTAAATCAAGAAAAAAAAGATCCCATATAAGCAAATAAACAAAAAAACGAACACGTGAGTTTACTTACTAATGCTTTGAACGAATGGGTTGTGTGATAAAGCCCTTTCCTTATTCGGCGCGGACATTGCCAGTGGCAGGACAATAACAAGGAAAACGGCCAACTGCATTATGATTTTCGTAATGACAGCAAAGTGTACTGTGGAAAAAAGGGAAAGGTTCAGACAGTTGAATGCAAACAAAGACCTTGGAATGAGATTCACCAGTTTGGTTTAAATATTAGATGCTAAGTTTGTTCTCAACACAAGCAGTGATTGGAAACTTAGCAAAGATTGCACATATCCGGTGTCTCGACTCTTAACCCCCGAAAACAACTCACTAAGCCACAATTATCCGAGTCAGTTAAGTCTGCTATTATATTGAGACATTTTGCAAAATAGCACTTAAATACTCCGGCAGTCAGAGGGACGGGTATTATATTGAAAAATTCTTCCTGAAGAAAACATCATTGAGTTGTTGGTGTTAGAACTTAGCACTACTTCTCTTTCATTCAGGGGCACACTTCACCAGCAAAAGTTTGTGGCAGCAATTGGAAACATAGTTTCACCTACTGTTATGTACCGATTCTGTAGCAGAACAGCGCTGCTCCGATGGAATGTCGTTCTTAACTATGGAGAATAAATGTTGATGATATTCTGGAAGTAGTCAAGGTGAGGCAAACACTATCAACTCACCTAATCAAAGGCAAGGTTGGAGTCACATGATACATATAATTTACGTCAGAAGAAGAGTTAGACCGCGAAGTTACATTGGATACCCTTATCGCAGCAAGAGCTAGTGGTTCCATCAAATAACTTGTGCACAGAACAAAAACATTCACACGGTCCGGTACCTCAACTTCAATTCACATCATCCGTTGCATCAGATCGGGTAGTTTGCACTCTCCAGGACTGATACATAACCATCGTAACTGAACAGGAAGACATGGAAATTGAAAAGCGACATATCAAACAGACATCATGTGAAAACCCCGAACGGTCGAAAAGGAAAGTAGAAGGTCAAATAAAATATAAAACCAAAATGACCCAAGAAACAAAAACGTTTAATCACAAAAGCTAACGTCATGGTCTATGTACCAAACACAAAGGGATTGTCTGAAGCACCTCCAAGATTGTGGCACAAAACAACAAATCAGTGCGACCATACCATTAAGCACTGTTAGTTCATCCGAAATACAAACTGCCGAAGAAACACTTGACAGGTGTGGTCTACCGAGTTACACTAACCGCTGTAACCTTGCACACACCGGGGAAACTTGTCTGAAATTTACGACACGCCTAAAAGAACATCAGACTTTAACAACAGTACATTCATTTGATATCTCTCTGAATGTTGAAGGTCGAAAGTCCACGCAAACAAAAAGGTCATATGAAGAAGATGGATGCCGAAAACACCGCCGAAAACAAAACACAGTTCTGCGGGAAGCTAAAATTAGTATAGACACAAGATAACCCTGATTCTGTAAGGGTCCATATTTCCCGGCCTAGGGAAGAACCAATCGTCTTCTCACTTGTGCGAACGTTTTTCACTAATATGAAATACGTAGATAGTATAAGAGAAGGCGCTATGAAATAGAAAGTTGTTAGGAATGAAGATATAACTATACATGTACAAGTTATAATGTTGCAGCTAGATGTTAAAAACTTCTAACATAGAACTGTGTAAATTAATTTAAGTGCCAGGTAATATCGAGGTCTGTAACAAAAGGTATAAAATTGTATGCAAGTAATATTCTGTTTGTAACATGTAACTCCTTATTACCAAAGCAGTTATTTGTTAGACATGTTACTCCTATTTACCAAAGCCTCAATGCTTACCAATGTAAGAATGCAGGAAAAGGCCGAACAAGGGTCTGTGTGTAGTTTATATAGTGTAAGACGCGTGTCATACATGCCCTTTCTACATGAAAGGGCAAAGAAAAACACTTGAGAAAAAACAGATGTCCACGATGACTGTCGGTTATCTTATATTTAATAAAAAGGAACAGCTTACGTAATACTATATACCATTGATCGACTAAACAGTACACATCTTAAAATTCCAGATAAAATGTAGATTGCTACACAGTAGCGACTTCATTGCTACAACCCGTTGATTTTAAACTTAAGTTTATATGTTTATAGGCATACAACAAACTTTGTAATTTCAACGTGGCAAATAACTTGCAGTCAATTTGGAGACAATAAATGACACCTTATAAAAGCTGCAATCAGTGAATGCTTTCCTGGCTATGGAGAAAGGCACCAAGGCGAAGTTGTCCCTTACCGTATCCGGATGGGTCAACATTTATATTTATTAAAAGGCGAAGACAATCTCTATGCATTCCATGTCAGTAACCGTATTGAATATTCAGTACTTCCCCACAGTAAAATATTTTTAGTAAGATTAATGTTTAAGCTTTTTAAAGTATTTTGTCTTATTCTAGAGAAATTATTACAAAATAAAAAGTGGTAACTAAGTTTGATTAGTCCGCATCTACATAATGGGCTCACATCTACATTTCTTATATATGGGTGTTGTTTCAAATTATTACATTTTACCCTTTATCTTGTATGTAGTATTTGTAGGTTTCTATTTCAAAAATTGAAATATGAAGGAACCACTACTTCATCTTTTTGAAGAAATCTCTTAATAACATTTACAGACGGATTTTCACGAATAAATATAATTTCACGAATATCTATAGGTAATGCATCCAATAACTGCACTGAGAAATTCAAAAATGAGTCTTTGTAAGTTTTGGTTCTACAGTTAATTGAACGTAAATGATACGAAATATTGTGTTGTGACTATGGCTTTCTGAACAGTTTCTGCCATGTTTTTTACACTGACATGTATATCATGAACCGGTTTCAGATCATTTCTAACGACCATGAATTGTGCAACAATCAATGTTGTTTCATTCGCGCTATCACAAGGAGGCAAGTACACTAACATACCCTGACTCCGACACACATACAATGTACACACGTGCACGTTTACTCAACACACATGGAGGTACGTCCTTAAATGACATGAGCTGTTTAGACGTTAAATAAAATAAAAGCAAACCAAACCTAACGTCACCTCATAATGTGCGTATATCCCGTTTCCTTTCGTTTCCTGTTGCTCCTGGGGTAATGACAGCGTTACTTTCATAATATTCTTAAGTTTAATATTAACAATACCATTGGCTCATCGTTGTTCCCATTTATGTTTTACAAGAATGAATACATGCAGTTTTAAATCTGAATATGGTCATTTGAAACTGATCTGCCGCCCTTTTTACAACACTTGGACATTTTGTCTTTTCATGTCTGTACTCTTTTTCTCCTTTTTTTATCCTTTTATATTTATGGTTAAGATAAAGATACTGATGTAATCTCTTGATAGCATTGTATATCAAAACATGTATATTTCGCACCTATCTTCAGCTATCTCATGACCACTATCAATGTATGAGGCACTTGTGCAAGTCTAACAAAATTCATATATCAAAGTACTACATGTGAAATGTGAGTGTTTTCTTCTTATGTGTGGTTTCATTCGCGTCTCTAAAACTTACATTTCTTGCGAAAAAAATGCTGGGTTGTTGCAATGATGTTTTCTGGCAGAATTCAAATGTAGCAAAAGAGGAGAATAAGTATGTGTGGGTTCTTATAGTATATTCAAGTGTGGTACAATAGTAATGTACCACACTGGTCATTATAGCTGCGTCGGTAGTGGTCGCTCACCGATACAGATTAGGTGTACATGGACCATTAAGTTTTAACTTCTTTTCTTTTATACATTAAAAGTCTATATTCAATCAATCAATGAACAAGATTAGGTAAATAACATTGAAATTAGTGTTTATTATAATAATTGGAAAAACAGACATCACACTACACTTTAACAATCTAACGGTCGAGCTTTTATGCCGAAATTTTGTTTTTTTTGTAGTATTTCTCTGACAAGGTGACAATATTAAACGAATTAAATATTATTTAAATTACCTAGCGCTACACAGGCATTCCAGGTCTGTCTACTTGGCTAGTATACATGTGTGTGTCTGTGTATTTTACCACCGACATACATTGTGAATGGAACTATTTAAGCATTAAACAGCATTCTGTTCCGTGTTACTGACCTATAACACGGAACTGGATTAAATACAAAATGAATAACGCGCGTTATGATAAATTGTCTGCAATCCTGTTCCGTGTTTTAGGACCATAACATAGAATGGATTACATTTCTAAATTCGAACTTGGCGGTGTTTGCTTAAGAGGTAGAACAGTCCATGAAATTGCCCACGGAAAGTTTGTCCCTTACAAAAATACAGTTTGTGAAAATAAACACAAAAATATCGATACAATTTCCATTATTCAAAAAATCAATATATTCAATTCACATTTTATAAAAGTCTTCCATAAAACGGTAAATATTATTCAATAATAGTGTTGCATATTAACAATAAATATCCTACATGTATTATACATCCCTCAATACTTAACCTCTTTTTCTGTCATCTTTTTTAAAGTTTTCTGCACATGTAAACGCTTCATCTTTAACTTCAAGTTAAAATCATTCGTTATGTGAACGTCTGTTTTTGTTTTAATTTCTGATATTGTAAATGAAAGTGATAAATGAGGTACAACAGTTTAATTTAGGTAATCTGTTTATTTATTTCTCTTTTAGAGGATAAAACAAACTTTATCAGGTCTACATCACCAGCCTTTCTAATAGGTTGTAGCACTGCTAGGAGAAGGGTGTGGAATATGCATGAAGTGAGCAAGCTCCTGTAACCTGTGAAATAAATGAAAATTAACTTTTAGACAAGTCTTCCTATAGTGTTCATCGAAATGTAAATGGTCCGAAGAAACAATTTAGCTATTTTCAGTTCAGCATATTGTGGTTTCATGCTTTATGACACCAGAAAGGAAGTTGTCCTATCGCGACTGAACATAGGACATACCTACATGACACTTGCTTACAATTAACAAAATGAAAATCAACCTTATTGTCATGTTTTTGACCGATCATTTATTGCCAAATATCTTATGATCGACAGTGTTAATTTTTAAGAAATATGTTATAAATTATATAGTGTAATATCTATGATAATATGTTTAGTACACTTTCTGTCATTAATATCATACTATTAACATTCAATTGATTGTTGCAGAAAGATATAATATAATGCTACTATCAATTGTAAATATTGATGTGTATTAAATATTCAACCCTTCCAACCCTTCATGTTCAAGCTATTTTTTTCCTTCTGTAAACGTAAATTGTATTGTTCTATGCATCTGAATGTCCTTAATTGTCTATCAGCAACAAACAATACGAAAACATTTAAAGACGTGCCTCTGTTAGTGAAATGGGTGTGTTTGTAAGTGTTTGAAGCGTTATGTTGGTTAAATCGCGGATCTAGTGTTGACTTTAAAAAAATATATACTTACGATGTGCACACCATAGGACAAGCTGCATGCGTAATGGTGTTGACGGTGCCTGCAGCGACTTGGGTGTCTACAAGCTTGTTACATTCATCGCTACATTGTGACTTCCTGGCATCAGAACCGAGCTGATCAATCAGATCTGTAACTAGCAGCTTAATCTCATCTGCGTGAAATATATTCACTGAAACAGAAGATCAAATGTGTGAGTTTTATTCGGTATAATATGTTCACACAGCACAAAGCAAATGACTGACATATTATATTTCACACCAATTGTTCATTGCGAGAGTTACAAAATGTAGCATGAAAAGTACAATTATTTCATATTTGATGTCAGTCGCGCATGAGATAGTTTAGGATTAGGTGACACCGCCTGAAACAGAAAGTAGATAGAAAAGAAAGAAGACACAAAAGTAAGGAAAAAAATCCAAATTGTAACAATTGGGGCAGCATATCTATTTTGGTTTTTTCATGTCACTTTTATAGGAGACATAGACGAATAACCCCGATTCTGCAAGGGGGNGCACTGCAAATCTATTCTTTCCCCGAACCTGCACTGGTAGGATAGCTACATCTATGCTTGACTAAGCGAGTGGGAGGAGTATTTGTTTGTTATATAGTATTAAACGTCCTAAAAACTAAGATGATATTGAAATAGCATGTCTCCATATGTGTAATGTATATGTGCTGAAGGCGGGATGTTGGTGTATTGTCTCCTCAAGAGATTGTGTCTGTGCTGGAAGCGATAAATGTAACAAAATCGGCGATGATTAGGTAATAAATGAAAATAAATATAAAAAAACTAACATTTTTGTATAGTAAAGTAGTGTTGAGTACATGTATCAATAGAGAGCAGCATTTTGGTCAAAGGTTCAATTAAGGTCAAATCCTATAATCGAGTTATAGCTGTGCCTTGCTTGACATGTAGACTGTTGCAGGGATATATAGAACATGCAGGCACGCCTATTGACATATATGTGATCAGCCACAGAGATAAACTTAGAGAACTATGGAAAGTAAGGCGGGTATAACTGAAAACAACACATGCTAGTTTTGATATGGATAAATTAAATTGAATCGTTGCATGTGCCTAATTATGCATGTGACATAGCCTTTACGTGCTCATGAAAAGTTAATGTTACAAATATTTTTAAAAGTACTTGGGAACAAATTTTATAGGGAGTCTAGATTAAGGAGTTGGAAGTTGAGGTTCGGGTGTATGAGTTTCTAGAGAGATAGTTCGGCAGAGAAGGCCTCGGCTAGAGAGGCCAAGGATTGCTCGGGTAGAGCAGGTGTTGTGCTTTACAACTATGTGTCTGTTTTTGTAACTCTATTATCACTGTACTTTTACGTTTTCTGTTGTGTTCCAAAACTATATTTGAAATGATGTCTACTATTTTTTGGGAGATCCTGCATGGTGGGAGGGAGAGCCTATTCCAGAATAGGGATATGTTTCCTGTTTGTACGGCCACGATGTTAAGTCAAAGAAACACTTTAAGTCAACAACGTGGTGTTCAGGGTGTTGTGTAACATACGATGAGAAGGTAAACAGTTTTGATTCAGAAACAGTTGTAGCACATTTGTGTAATTCAGTTCATTCTTAATGATTTTACAACAAGAAATTAGAAAAGTAAAAATCAATTCAGAAAATATTAATGATGCTTTTCCAAAATGCTACATATAAAGAAGGGATTAACAACTACAATTTATAACAACCTTTGTATGTCTCGGCCTGGAGACAGAACACGTTGCTTTATCCGCTTGTGCGAACGTTCAACACAAAGGCGTAGCGTGGGGGGTACTGTCAAGCAGGCACTTGGGCAGACAAATGGTTGTTAAGACGTAAAAAAAGAAAAGAAAAGATCCCATATAATCAAATAAACAAAATAACGAACACGTGAGTTTACTTACTAATGCTTTGAAGGAGTGGGTTGAGTGAGAAAGCCCTTTCCTTATTCGGCGCGGACATTGCCAGTGGCAGAACAATGACAAGGAAAACGGCCAACTTCATTGTGATTTGCGTATACGACGGCAAAGTGTACTGTGGTAAAATAAAACCGTTTACACATTTAAATATTGATAACAAATATTGAACTACCTCGCATATATACAATGTATGTGTATTTGCTTGTTTCAGGTGCAATATCCTCATAAAAACCAAGGTCGTATGAAGATTGATGCATGAGCAGACAAGGATGTCTTGTTTTGCAGGGTGTTCAATTTAGTTGTCTTTGCAATATACAGTGTGTTACAACAGGTTTATTCCTTTCTCAGTCCGCAACAAACAGAGGTGGTAAATATATATATATATAAATCACGTACGATTCTAGTTATACATAAATTACCATAGAAGGCCATAAAAGATATTAATAACACAAGTATTTGTAAAAGTACACTCTATGGTTATCTTAGAACCATACCAACAATATCACAATTACATGTAAAAATTAAGTTATACAGACAAAATTCAAACTTTGTGCAAATTATAGAAATTCGAAGTGTGGACTCTACCATCAGACTCTCTGCTAAGTATATAATTATACCAATAGACAAAGCGAAAGAATGAAATTGAACCAAATCAGTCGCGTATAGACGCAAAGGTTAGCCTAGAATAGAAATACACGAATTTTCCTCTGCACGTCCGAAGAAAAGACAATGGAAACTAAAACAAAAAAACCAACTGAAATATAACATAAACACTGTAGAGGTTGGAGCGAAATCCACCACTTTTGAAACAGTTACCCATTTCCTAAACTGCCTTGTAAGTCATTCCTAAAATTAAACGTGAGTCCGTTTATTTACAGGGAAGGAATACACGACCCAAAACCATATAATAATCATGTAATAATATGATATTTGAAGACAAAAAGGCAAAACTGAATTTTATTTTTCGATAGACAGTGAAGTGGTTCTTCTGCGATGTAATGTTCAGCAACGAACAAAGGGACAAACTATTGGTCAAATGAGCATAAAGACACTACCATAGCTCTTACCGAGTTCATTAAACATTCGGTGGCCATCCGTAAATGACGTTGGCTGTAGTGAGGACTCTGAACTCAAAAACTCAAACAAAATTATAATCTATAAGAAACAAAACATGATTTGTCAAACTCGTAACTCTTAACTACAAAAGTTAAAGAACTTACCAATGAAAGAACCAGAGGTGGAATAGGTCGAGTAATGGGCTGTGTTCGGTTTATAAAGAATTTGATACGTGACGTTTATGAGAAAGGGCAAATCACACCCACTGAGAAGTGACAGTTGTCCGCGAGTCGAGCGATTACCGAAATCTTCTGACTTTTTATCTATAGAAATACTTTTGCCATAGTTATCTTTAAGTGCAAATATGGTTTGGTTTGGCTCAAGGGGGTTGACGTCCTATACATAGAGCAAGGTCATTACAGGCCGTGCCTCTTTGTATAGAAATGTATTTGTTAGTTCAAAATGAATGGCCTGCAGATACCTGAACTTTATTTTGGACCTTATGCGTCAAAACGAAGCTCAAAAAGCTGAGCATATATCTAAAAAAAACAAGCAAACGGCTAAGATTAGTAAGATGATCTAAACCAGTCGAGAAGCTTAATATTCTGTTATAGGGGCGTATATTCTGTATGCACTTAGTAACAGTTGTCACAGGGACTCAGTTTAAACAGTATTTATTTAATATTAAAACATGTTTAATTCCATATAAATAATTACACAGGGATTCGAAAACAGGCTTGCATCTTATATTAATTCCTCATCCAAGTGTTTATTTTACAGGCAAATAATTCTTGGCGACTGTTGACACCTCAACTAAATTTTTAATTTGAATAAGATGATGTCTTATTTATTGCAAATGTACACGTGCTGAAAATTGAAATTGAACCAGTGCTTTACGTTTGGTATTGAAGTGCACGCACACTTGCACTCACACACCTATAGACGGACGGACGGACGGACGGACGATGGCACTCTCGTACACGTACGCATGCACATGCTCAAACACTCATACACATGTACTTATGATGCGCTTGCTTCTCGGTATAATGTATTAAAGAAAAAAACAACACTTTCGATTACAATATACAATATAAAATTGATGAATTAAGAATTATAATAATTAACAACTCCAGGTTCTTATATATCGCTTAATCACAACTTAATTCGTAGGTCGTCTAAAAGCGGTTCACAATTTATTACCCGTGGTTATAATTTTTACAGCTGAGTAGACTGGAACAAGCGGAGTAAAGTATCTTGTTCAAAGATACAGCACAGTGTCGCGACGTGACCCGAACCCGCAACCCTTCGGTCACGAGCCCGGCGTTTTACCGCTAGACTACCGTGCCTCAATAACTACAATAAAAGGGTCGTACATGTACTTGTAAACAAATAAGGATTAACTAATTATAAACCATTTACTAAAATGACAAAAAAATATCTTTGTTCTTCTGTATTTAATACTCAGTATTTCCCCACAGTAAAGTATTTCCAGTAAGATTAATGTTTAAGCATTACATAGTACTTTTTCTTGCATACTAGACCGAGATATCCGCATTTCCGGCGGTATCTGGAAAATTCTATCTGACCCACGGGTCTAGATGGCTTACACGCGCAGACTGGAGGAGGAATTATAGTGACCTTTCGGGGTCACTCTTTTGTTCGTGACGTCAATATTTTATCCCTTGGGTTTGAATAACCTTATACATACCTCACATCAGGGATGAATTCTATTAGTCTTATTCTAGAGAAATTATTACATATTAATGAAATGTTGTAACTACGTTTGACAAGTCCGCATCTACATAATGGGCTCACCTTTGCATTTCTTATATATGGGTGTTGTTTCAAATTACTACATTTTAACCTTAATCTTGTATGTAGTATTTGTAGGTTTCTATTTTCAATATTGAAATATGAAGGGACCACTATTTTATCTTTTTGAAGTAATCTTTTAATAACAATTACAGACGGATTTTCAAGAATAAATATACTTTCACGAATATCTATAGGTAATGCATTCAATAATTGCATTGAGAAATTCAAAAATGAGTCTTTGTAAGTTTTGGTTCTACTGTTAATTGAACGTAAATGATACGAATTATTGTGTTGTGATTATGGCTTTTTGATATTTTATTATGGACTAAGCTTGACAGATAAGCTGGATTTTTATTATGATACATTTCATGAAACTGTATGAAAAAAAACCATGTAACATTTTAAATATTAACAGTGAATATTTCATCTTTAGCAGAGAAGAAACCCAGAAAAGTTCTGCCATGTTTTGTACACTGACATGTATACCATGCACCGGTTACAGATCATTTCTAACGACCGTGAATTGTGCAACAATGAATGTTGTTTCATTCGCGCTAATCACAAGGAGGCAAGTACACTTACATACCCCGACTCCGGCACACATACCATGTACACACGTGCACGTTTATTCAACACACATGGAGGTACGTCCTTAAATGACCTGAGCTGTTTAGACGTTAAATAAAATAAAAGCAAACCAAACCTAACGTCACCTCATAATGTGCGTATATCCCGTTTCCTTTCGTTTCCTGTTGCTCCTCTGCTAATGGCAGCGTTAATTTTATAATATTCTTAAATTAAATATTAATAATACTCACGGCTCATCGTTGTTCCCATTTATGTTTTACAAGAATGAATACATGCAGTTTTAAATCGGAATATGGTCATTTGAAATTTTGTCATTTTGTTTTTTCATGTCTACATTCTTTTTCTCCGTTTGTTCTCATTTTATATTTATGGTTTAGATAAAGATACTCATGTAATCTTTTGATAGCATTGTATATCAAAAGATGTATATTTCTCACTATCTCCAGCTATCTATTGACCGCTATCAATGTATGAGGAACTTGTGCAAGTCTAAAAATATTCATATATCAAAGTACTACATGTGAAATGTGAGTGTTTTCTTCTTATGTTTGGTTTCATTCGCGTCTCAAAAACTTACTAAAAAAGCTGGGTTGTTGCAAGGAGAGATCTACATATAATTACGAACATGTCGCTTCCGTGTTTGAATTATAATTCAAAACGTAAATATTTTCAGTAAGGTCTCCTGGCAGAATTCAAATGTAGCAAAAGAGGAGAATAAGTATGTGTTGGTTCTTATGGTATATTCAAGTGTGGTACATTAGTAATGTACCACACTGGTCATTATAACTGCGTCGGTATTGGTCGCTCACCGATACATATTAGGTATACATGGACCATTACATTTTACATTTTTTTTCTTTGATACATTAAAGTCTATATTCAATAAATCATTGAACAAGATTAGGTAAATAACATTGAAATTAGTGTTTATTATATCAATTGGAAAAGCAGACTTGACTGTTTACTTTAACCTTCTAACGGTCGAGCTTTTATGCCGATATTTGGTATTTTTATGTAGTATTTCTCTGACAAGGTGACAATATTAAACGAACTATATATAATCTAATTAGTATGTCCTGTCATCAAACTTAGCGCTACACAGGCATTCCGGGTCTGTGTACTTGGCTAGTATATATGTGTGTCTGTGTATTTTACCAATGACGTACATGGTGAATGGAACTATTTAAGCATTAAACAGCATTCTGTTCCGTGTTACTGATCTATAACACGGAACTGGACTAAATACAAAATGAATAACGCGCGTTATGATAAATTTTCTGCAATCCTGTTCCGTGATTTAGGACCATAACATAGAATGGATCACATTTCTAAACTCGAATTTAGCGGTGTTTGCTTAAGAGGTAGAACAGTCCATGAAATTGCCCACGGAAAGTTGTCTCGTGATTTTTCCCCAACACAAATATAGTTTGTGAAAATAAACACAAAAATATCGATACAATTTAACTTTTTTAACAAATCAATATATTCAATTCACATTTGATAAAAGTCTTCCATAAAACGGTGAATAATATTCAATAATAGTGATTTTTGCTTATCTGATTTTTAGTGCGGAGGGGAAGAGTGATCCAGTAGTTAGTCGGACCGGTTGCTATTGCTTACAAGAACTGATAAAAAATTGGCCAAGAAGTGACCGAGCTTAGACACATAGGAACATTCTACATCCATAACGAGAAACAGCCCCCTTCGTCTCTTTGAAAGATAAATATCTGAACAAGAGAACCAAGACGCATTTTTTTAAAAAGATTACGCATTGAAATTGCATAATTAATCATGTTAATTTAGTATTGCATATTAACAATAAATATCCTACATGTATTATACACCCCTCAATACTTAACCTAATCTTTTTTTTCAAGTTTTTTTGCACATGTATTACAACCAACCTGTTTGATATTGTTTCGTTCGCATATACTATGAAAAGGCAAAGCCTTAAAAGAGCGAAGCTTTTGTTGATCTCTGATATTTACTGATTCAGAATGAGATAATACTGCTTTCAGAATGAGGTAAGATAAAATTTATTTAAAGTCGGCTAGTCGAGGGATAACAATAAAACATAAACTCTAATGAGATTAAGACCGACATAACAATAGGGGAGATCGGGGCAAATTCGGCCCTTTTTTTAAAGTCCGTTTTTGAATACTGGCAGCACGTCCGTTTTTGAACATTATTTAATTTTCCCTGTCGGATGCTCGGATAGCCGATCGAGCCCCGCCACGGGATAAGTTCGGACAGGCATTCGGGTAAACTCGGCCCCATTGGAGTCAGCTTAATTATAACGTTATAAAGCATGCTACGTCAGATTTTCCGCCAATTTTTACGACTTTTTATGTGTCACATGGGCCGAACTTGCCACGGTATCATTGGCCGAAACTGTCCGGGCCCAAATTAATATTTCAACAAATTCTTACGTTAAGCAATATAGAAGTGAGTGCTTGGCTTGGCTTTTATGTATATGTGTTACACGTTTGACCGTACAAAAATAGCAATTCCATTGACAGAAAGTTCGCATAACTAGAAGCGAGGTCTTGATTTTCTTTCTACCCTCTCAAAAAGCAATTTTCTCCAGTTAAGTCATTTTAAATTAGAGTTTTCTTTGCCATTTGTTCGTGTGAATGCCCATCCAACTAAACTGCTAAGATATTTAAAGTTGTAAATATTAGCTAAAAAACAAAAATATCAGGGGTGGCCGAACTTGCCCCGGTCCCCCGTATGCAAATTATTTGTATTGTTGATGATTGGTAAAAATGTATTTGTAATATATATATTTTTTAAGCATCAATGACGCCATTTCCAAAGCTAAATTAGATAGTTGTTCTTGTCCGTAACGTATATGATGGGTTGGGTGGCGCAGTGGATAGCGCGCTCGTCTTCACCAAGATGGCCGGATTCAATCCCGGTTACCTGCCCGACCACGCGGGTTTTATCCGGATACTCCGGCTTCCTCCCACATTAAGAATTACATCCTCTGAGTGCTTCCGTCAGGTCACAAAAAGAATGATTGAAATAAGTTGGGGAAAAACTGTTTTGTAATTGCTATAGACAAAAGTGCCTATTTCATATTTGATGATAAGTTAATAAAAGTAAATGTATAGAGATGTTAGTTAAAAAAGAGAAATTAAAAAAAAAACCATTGTAATACTTTGATGTAACTGAGATTGTCGTTATATCGATATTTAAAATTCCTGTTCTATCCTGAAACACCGGATTGAATTTCAAGTTTTGTAACTGTCACTGAGGTTTGCCAGGTAAAGATGCCAAATAAAATTAAAGAGTTTATGTCTGTTTAACTAGTTATAAATCGGCATGCGTTGTGAAAAAGTGATACGTTGCTGAAAAATGGCGTTGAACTCGGGTTCGTTGTCTGGACAATTATTGTTGATTTCGACATAAATGAATTATCCATTGTTTCTTTTATGAGTGTTGATGCATACATAAAGTATGTAAAGACTATAACCAGACTTTCAAAAATGTTAATTATTTCTTTCATATACACAACAAATCGAAATCGATGAAAATTTAGACGATGAAAAATAAATGTACATGTTGATCTATTGGTTTAATGCGTCTCTTTTTGAAAATATCTCCCGGTAGAAAATTTAAAAAAAACATGGTTGATGACAAAAAGGATCTTCAGAAAACATCCCCGTATTCACTTTTTGTGCCTGTGGCAAAAACTGAAATTAAAAAGTCATGAAGCATCGAAAGAGATAAATGCAACGGCTATCATTTCCAAGATTTCCCGGTTATTTTTCATCCTTCCGGAAATAACCGATGAAGGCCGATGGAGTGTGAAGTGCTTGTGACGTCAAAGTATGATAATCTCTGATCGACGTTTCACGCCTGCTAGTATCAAAATGTATGTGATAGATATTTTTCGCTCTGAATGTATATTAGTTTTTACCTAAATAAATAAGTAATAAAACATGGGTATTGTTTTCAATACTATATGAAGATGTTCATGTATGGGTTGAAACACAATTGTCTTTGCTTCAAGAATACACTTCCTGTTTCCCCACTGGACGTCTACTGCCGGACGAAAACAATTAAAGGCAAGTTGTAGAAAGGGGAGGCAACTCTATTTACGCACGCATGTGTTACCATTAAAGAGCTTTAATAAAGAGCCTTCGGCGCCCGAGAGCTAGACTCTTATTAAACATTTTAATCTTTAACTTTAAGTTAAAATCCTTCGTTATGTGAACGTCTGTTTTTGTTTGAATTTCTGATATTGCAAATGAAAGTAATAAATGAGGTACAACAGTTTAATTTAGGTAATCTGTTTATTTATTTATCTTTAAGAAGATAAAACAAACTTCATCAGGTCTACATCACCAGCCTTTCTAATAGGTTGTAGCACTGCTAGGAGTAGGGTGTGGAATATGCATCAAGTGAGCAAGCTCCTGTAACCTGTGAAATAAATCAAAATTAACTTTAAGACAAGTCTTCCTATAGTGTTCATTGAAATGTAAATGGTCCGAAGAAACAATTTAGTTATTTTTCAGTTCAGCATATTGTGGTTTCATGCTTTATGACAGCAGAGAGGAATTGTCCTCTCGCGACTTAGCATAGGACATACCTACATGACACTTGCTTACAATTAACAAAATGAAAATCAACCTTATTTGTCATGTTTGTGACCGACCATTTACTGTCAAACATCTTATGATCGCCAGTGCTGATTTTAAAGAAATATGTAATAAATTATATAGTGTAATATCTATGGAAAAATATTTATTTGGTACTGTTTCTGTCATTAATATCAGACTATCAACATTTAATTGATTGTTGCAGACAGATATAATATCATGCTATTATCAATTGTTAATATTGCTGTGTATTTAATATTTAACCCTTCATATTCAATATTTTTTCCTTCTGTAAACGTAAATTTTATTGTTCTATGCATCTGAATGTCCTTAACTGTCTATCAGCAACAAACAACACGAAATCATTTAAGGACGTGCCTCTGTTAGTGAAATGTGTGTGTGTAAGTGTTTGAATCGGTATGTTGGTTAAATTGCGGATCTAGTGTTGACTTTAAAAAAATATATACTTACGATGTGCAAACCATAGGACAAGCTGCATGCGTAATGGTGTTGACGGTGCCTGCATCGACTTGGGTGTCTACAAGCTTGTTACATTCAAGGCTACATTGTGACTTCCTGGAATCAGAACCGAGCTGATCAATCAGATCTGTAACTAGCAGCTTAATCTCATCTGCGTGAAATATATTCACTGAAACAGAAGATCAAATGTATGAGCTTTATTTGGTATAACACGTTCACATAGCACAGTCACTGACAAAGCAAATGACTTACATATTCGATTTCACACCAATTGTTCATTGCGATAACTAGCATGAAAAGCACCATGATTTCATATTTAATGTCAGTCGCGCATGAGTTCAGGATTGGTCGACACCGCCTGAAACAGAAAGTAGATAGAAAAGAAAGAACACAGAAACGATAGGGGGGAAAAAATCCAAAGTGTAACAATGGGGGCAGTATATCAATTTTGGTATCTTTCATGTCGCTTTTAGCGGACATAGACGAATTACTCCGATTCTGCAGGGGGGTCATAATTAGTCGCATCTCGTGATCATGCGGTGGGGCACTGCAAATCTATTCTTTCCCCGAACCTGCAATAGTAGGATAACTACATCTATGCTTGACTAAGCGAGTATGAGGAGGATTTGTTTGCTCTATAGTGTTAAGTGTCCTAAAAACTAAGATGGTATTAAAATAGCATGCCTCCATATGTGTAATGTATATGTGCTGAAGGCGGGATGTTGGTGTATTGTCTCCTCAAGAGATTGTGTTTGTGCTAGAAGTGATATATGTAACAAAATCGGCCAATGATTAGGTAATAAATGAAAAGGTTCAGTTAAGGTCAAATCCTATAATCGGGTTATAGCTGTGCCTTGCTTGACATGTAGACTGTTGCAGGGATATATAGAACATGCAAGCACGCCCATTGACACATATGTGATCAGCCACAAAGATAAACTTAGAGAACTAAGGAAAGTAAGACGGGTATAACCGAAAACAACAAATGCTAGTTTTGATATGGATAAATTAAATTGATTCGGTGCATGTGCCTTATCATGCATGTGACATAGCTGTTACGTGCTCATGAAAAGTAAATGTTACAAAGATATTTAAAAGTACATGGGGACGAATTTTAAAGGGAGTCTAGATTAAGGAGTTTGTACGGCCACAATGTTAAGTCAATGAAACACTTTAAGTCAACAACGTGGTGTTCAGCGTGATGTGTAACATACAATGAGAAGGTTTGCAGTTTTGATTCAGAAAAAGTTGTAGCATATTTGTATAATTCAGTTACTTACTAATGCTTTGAAGGAGAGGGTTGAGTGAGAAAGCCCTTTCCTTATTCGGCGCGGACATTGCCAGTGGCAGGACAATAACAAGGAAAACGGCCAACTGCATTGTGATTTGCGTATTGACAGTAAAGTGACTGTGGAAAAAGGGAAAGGTTAAGACAGTTGAATGCAAACAAAGACCTTGGAGTGAGATTTATCAGTTTGGTTTAAATATTAGATACTAATTTAGTTCTCAACACAAGTAATGATTGAAAACTTAGTTTGCCTTCTGTTTCCGTTGTAAAGCAAAGATTGCACATAACCGGTGTCTCGACTATTAACTCCTGAAAATAACTCACTAAGCCACAATTATCCGAGTCAGTTAAGTCTGATATCATATTGAGACATTTTGAAAAATAGCACTTTAATACTGCGACAGTCAGAGGGACGGTTTTATATTGATAGAGAACAAGTATTCCTGATGAAAACATCATTGAGTTGTTGGTGTTTGAACTCAACACTACTTCTTTTTTAATTCATGGACAGATACATAATCATCGTAACTGAACAGGAAGACATGGACATGGACAAAAGCGACATATCGAACAGACATCATGTGAAAACCCCGAACGGTCGATAAGGAAAGGTAGAAGATCGAATAAAATATAAATCCAAAAAGACCCAAGAAACAAAAACGTTCAATCACAAAAACTAACGTCATGTCCTATGTGCCATACACAAAGGAAGTGTATGAAGCACCTTCAAGAGTGTTGCACATAACATCAAATCTGTACGCCCATGCGACCACATATATTATATAATTTCACCCGAAAGACAAACTGCAGAAGGATGAAAGGACAGGTGTGGTCTACCGGGTTACCCGTAACCGCTGTAACCTTACATACATCGGGGAAACTTGTCAGAAATTGAGGACACGCATCAAAGAACAATATATTCATTCAATATATCTCTGATTGTTTTAGGTTAAGTGTCAATGCAAAAAAACAAGGTCATATGAAGACGATGGATGCCTAAGACACATTCGAAAACAAAAAACAAATCTGCAGGGTTCTAACATTAGTTGCCAAATACAATATGCAATGGCTAACAGCAGGTGTGTTCTTTTCAACGTCCCGGAAGAAGAGACACAAGAAAAAAACCTGATTCTGTAGGGGCCGATTTTTCCCGACCTGGGGAAGAACGAATTGCTTTCTCATTTGTGCGAACGTTCTTTACTTTACGTAGATATTGTTAATGAAGGCGCTAAGAAACAGAAGGTTGTTAGGAATAAAGGTATAATATACATGCAAAAGATTCCAATGTTGCAGTTAGATGTTAAAAAATTATAACATAGAACTTTTGCGAGGTAATATCGAGCTCTGTAAAACAAAGTAATCAAATGAAACAAAAGCCGAATTGGTCGTACACATTACTTATTATGACCAAAGCCTCAAGACTTACCAATATAAGAATGCAGGAATAGGCCGAACAAGGGACTGCGTGCGGTTTATAAAGTGTAAAGTGCACGTCATACATGCCGAAAGGGCAAAAAAAACAACAGATGTCCACGATGTCTTTCTGTTATCTTATATTTAAAGATAAAGAATATCCTTTGTTATACAACATATAATTGATCGTCTAAACAGTACACATCTTGGAATTCCAGATAAAAGGTAGATTGCTACACAGAAGCGATATTATTGCTACAACCTGTTGATTTTAAACAAATTTTTTTAGATTTCAAACCGCATATAACAAACTTTGTAATTTCAACGTGATATAATACTTGGAATCAATGCGGAGAAAATAACTTACACTTTATAAAAGCTGCAATCGGTTAAAGCTTTCCTGATTATCGAGAAAGGCACGGAGACGAAGTTATCCCTTCCTGTATTCAAATGGGCCATTATTATTTGTTGAAAGAAGAAGACAACCTGAATTTATAACATGTCACAAACCATATATAAGTTTCAAGTTTCTTTACGTAAAAACAACCCAGTATTTTACGACTCTTGACTACATGAAAATTGTTGATAAAGAAGCAATAACTTTAGCCACTTAAAATATTCAAGCAAACGATTGTCTTTTATTTTTCGTTTGTTTGATGTCATTTCCTTTACAAGTTTCCTTTAACAACTAAATAGCTCTAAAGAATATATTTTTTGTATTGATAGGCCGTTAAGATAATGATAATAAAGTACAAGTGTACACGTCTTTCTCTGTGCTCTCCATATTGAATGTTTTTTAAAAAAAAATCAACACGTTATCATTATAATTTTTAATTTAATAACTATAACAACCTCACGAGAAACTGAAAGTCAGCACTTTTTATGAATATATATATGCATCATCTAGTATGGCAGTCACTCTGTCTTCAAAGAATGTGTCTGATGTTCCCTACTCAAATGGTCAGGACAATGAAACACTGGAACTATGGATTTATTCAATGTTTGTACTACAGAACGAAGGTTTTGTTTTTAAATGCTTGAATACGAAAGAGATATCAGTTTTCAACTTAACCCAAAATAGTAAAAGAGCATTCTGTGTAGTTTTGGTAAATACTAAAGAAGAAAGAAATGGCTTCAACTACGAATGAATTTTGGGAAATTGTTCTTTGGACAAACCTGTCCAAGCTTTGCAGCTAGGGTCGTTTTACATGGGTTCAGGTCATTGCCAATAAAATTATTTTTTGTTTTGTGCAGACACCTTATATAGTCCTTCGGACGTTGGCAACTTTCACAATTACAATTACTCTTCATTATGAGATGAATATTAAATGAGCATGAAATACCCCCTAAAACAGCGTAAAACAAAAAACTGATGATAAAATGTTTAAAAAAATATAACAAAATGTACAAGAAGAAATCCTTAAAAGTGACAAGGATAATACATTTGATTTCAAAATCATTTGTTAACAAACACTTTATCAATCATGCAAAGTTATGGAGCAAATCTGAATTTGGAATCTTTTGTGACCTAACACGAACAGAAAGGTTGTTTTTAGGCTTGCAACTAATTTAATTATCAATTCCCTGTAATCAAGTGCATTGCTTTCTGGTTGACGCCAGGGAGGTGTCTAAGCTCCTCATCTACGTGCTACAAAGGGATATTTGTTGTGCTAAATGAATATTTTCCACCACTTATTTTGAACTGAATTTTCGCATACTTATTTAAAAGAACACGACTTCTTAATACTATAAAAAGTATGAAAATCCTGTTTTTTACATTAAAATCTTCACAAAATGTGCGATTATCGTCACATTCTAGATGATAAATATATTATTGCAGCATCACATGAAAGACCCCAATGCCGTAATAAGGTTGATTAATCATCTAAATAATTAGAAAGTAATTCAAAGTAATAATTCAAAATAAAAAAGTAAATACAGCAGCATAAATCTCGTAGCACTTCTGAAACGAATGTTACGAGGGGGCAGGCTCTTATGTAAATTTAACATAGCTGGAAATAGTTCCTTCTTTGATCTATTTGTGAATTAGCAGTATCTTATGTAGTTGTGCCCCCAGAAACAATTTTGCGTTTCGGACCTTTTAACGAGAGTTATGTCCCTTTACGTAAAAGTAATACAACGCTTTGTCCGGTCATGCTTTTGCTCATTTTACAATAGATTTCTTTGATTTGTTTGTGTAGTGGAAGAAGTCTTATTTAGTTGTACACTCTGAAAGAATTTTGCGTTTCAAACCTCTTTAAGAGGGTAATGCCCCTTTACGTGAAAACAAAAAATCCTTAAAACTTTTTTTGCGTAATCACAGTACCATAAGTTGTTGTGCCTTGTGAAATGGTTTTGCGCTTTTGGACCTTTCCCAACCCTTCCTTCGTCTTTTGGCCTAATCCATAAGATTTTATTATAAAAACGTCTTAAAACTTATTACAATGTAACTATGAGTTTGTCTTTTTTCTGCCGATTTCAAAAATCTCGTTTCCGCATCTGTTATTATAAGTATTATATTATCCTGATCGCACGCAGTCTTCTCTGTGTTTTGAATAAGCCTAGAAACTGGAGAGTATATGTGACTCTGTTCACACTTCCTCAATCTTTGGCGGGGGAATTTGCTCTCGACGACAAATTGATTGATTATGGAGCCAACCCCCAAACTAAAAAAAAAGATATTGGATCGATATTTTAAACCAAAATACAGAAAAAGACATTTCCAGTTATATGATGCATTTTGCGTGTATGTGGAGGGTATATTTATCATCCCCTTCGGTGACAGATCTAGTTAAGGACTTAGTATGTTTAGGCCTATGGACAGAGCGCATTAGACGAACGCTTAATACTTCGATTAAAAATGAAGTATTACCTATCGAGATGTTTGGAAACAAATAATGTGTTAGAAAGTAGAGAAAATATAAAGATCCCATATGTTGCAATGAGGGCAGCATATTTATTTTAGATTCGTCAATGTCCCTCAGCAGAAATAAACCCGATCTGCAGGGGCCCAACATAAGTATCCTTTTACGACATGCAGTGGAATGGAGCAGACCCATTCTTTCCCCAAAGTTGCAAGGACGCGCATCCAAGTCCTTCAAAGTAGAAATTGTTGTTATCTGCTTAACTTTCAGTCAGAAGAGAAATTGCATGAAATTGGTTACACGTTTACAGAATAACATGGCTGGTTGGTTTTGTAATTGTGTTTCAGTGAGGTAGAACTTTAACGCCGGCATCAGATCCGCGCTTTTACAAGCAGTTAATTACACCACCATGCCCTACTTCCTACAAACACATGCAGGCAAATAAAACACACATGGAGGCATTAAATGACATTAACTGTTGATAGGACGTTAAACCCGGAATAACCAACCAACCCGAAAACACAAAAAAGTCCCACAACTGTACTTTGCAGAAAAGGCACGTCCTTTATTGGTGTTACATGTTTCTGTTAATATGACTTTAACCAAATGAAACTAAACCTAACCGACCAGCCTGAACGCATAGAATGTCACTAACATTTTTTAGTAAAACACCTGTTATTTGAGTGCATTGACCTGCAGCCAACACGAGAAAAAAAAACTATTTTTTCTTTTTGGAATAATTTGAAAATATGAAAATCTATTTGTAAATAGTGAATATATCTATCTCCAAAAAGCATTACTAGCCATACCGTCCATACTTTTCAAATTGACGCCCGTCGATTACGTTTTCTTTGTTTATGTTAAATCAACCGTGTATTAGCCCTTATCATCTCTTCTGTGTTGATGGGCCGTAAAGAATCTAATGATAAAAATAATGAAGATTTTTATCGATGCTTCTCAAAAACTACTTGACAAATCATTCTCAAATGTTATATTGGTCTGCTGCTGTGCAAGTTAAACATTGAGAATAATCGAAAGATCAACATCACCGTCTTTGACTGTTGCGACGTTAAACTCCAAACAAACAAATCGCCTGGTAGCCATTTTGACAATTCAAGTTTGTTACTGCTATTTTTCAAGAAGTACTTGAAATAACTGTTCTCTGTACACGTTAGGGGAAACAATAGATCACATGTATTCAACTGCAAAATCAGAGGGTTTTTTCGTGTCTTCTATAAGGAGGACGTTGGAGAGACCAATAATGATTTGTGCCCCACGCATTTTGTAGTGTCTCCCTATACACCCGTCGTCGTATTATCTTGACTGTTATGAGACTTTACCTCCCAAACCAACTAACTGTCCAAAAATGTTTTACATTATTATGCATTTTTCATTTTGAAACTGTAAAGGTAGCCGTTTCAAATTTTGACAGTTATTATATTCGTTTTGTTTTCAAGAAGTAATTGACAGATTTTCCAGAAATTCATAGGTTTATGTCCTTTGTACAAGATAACATCTTCCTGTGTTTAAGTTTTGCATATTTTCTTTTGGGCTTAATTAGTTTTGCATATTTTTCGGGGTCTCGGTTACTTTATAAAAAAACTATGACTATCAGAAAAAATATGGGTAACAGAAATCTTCCTTACTATACATATATATATATATATCTAACACATTAATATCTATTTAAAAGACAAACGACAACCTATTTGTGAAAGGTCCCTGCCAAACTAGCTGTGTGTATTTAAATCGAACGTAACCACAAGATGTATTTACTTTTGACGAGACTATTAACCCATTCGGTAAGAGAAACATCAAACTTGCATAAAACTGATGAAGACCGTGCGATGGTGAGAGCCAATATCCATATTGGATCTCATGTTTGTATTTTAATGAAATTGTGTGTATAGATATGTTTTGCGATCTGCGATCATATGCTGGTTCATCTATAAAATTGTAGTTCTATGTTCTATCATGCATGTTTATTTCAAAAATAGTTGAAGAATCACATTGTAGAACTGTATACATGTATATCTAAAACAATTGTGCTACATCAATTGGTATATTCATAAAACTAGTTGTACTTTTATAATTTGGTTTCATATTAAATAGTTGTACGACCATATCATATTTATATTTGAGATATCAAAATAGTTTAGCTGTTATATTTTGATTTATATATACAATATTTTGTGACCAATTGTTTTGTAATGAATGAAATAATTGTGTTATCAGAGTATATAATTTTGCATTATGGTGATTTTTAAGTTGAAATATTAAAATTGTTATTTGTTAGATGAAGTTTAGATGAAAACTGAGAAGTAAACTGCATCTCTGAGATGAACATAACGGAATTAAAAAAAGAATATCGAAAGCAGTTTTTGAGCAACGTACGTTTGAGTATAGCAGTCTATTTAGCCGTGTTCAATATCAAACATATAGATGGAAGAAATGTATAATTAATCTATAAATAAACAACCTAGTACTGGTATAGAACAGAGTTGTACTGTCCGAGTGACAACGTTTATCTATATTTTCTGACCTCATTATAGGACAGCTGAGCACGTGGTTACAGATCACGAAATATTTATCCTTGAAGTTTTGTGTGATCTTCCAGCTGTCAAAGGTGTTCCTTGACTGACGTCAATGACTCACCTGGACTAGTTCTCATTATTCATTTTCGTGTTCATTTCTGTTTTATATAACATTTTTCCATTGTAAAAAGGATAGTTGCACGAAAAGAAAAGATTTTGAAAATTTAATTATAATATGGATTTAAATCCTTGAAAGAAGGTAAATTGAAACTGATTTAGTAATTATTTTGTAAAATTAATATGTACAAGCCAAACGCAGTTGAAAATATTTGAATATACTTTTTAATCATTATTCGTTAAAGACAAAATTAAAGATTATCCCCAACAAAAATATGATGAGTGATTCCCTTCATTTTTATCCGTATTAAAATAACCTTTTTACACTCCCTGCAAACGAAGTTCAAGGGCATATAGGTATCATCCTGTCGTTCTTCCGAGCGTCCATTAACTTCGGAAGCAAAACTCCTAAACTATTTGTTAGATTTTTGTTGATTTAGGCACAATGATCGTACATCATATGTATTTGTGCATGATATTTGACTATTTTCCAGTGAGATTTAGCAAATGAAACTTCCTTTCCAGAAATCTTGTAAACACAACTTATCCACAACTGTTCGGGTGTTTTTTTTATAACTTCGCATATGGAAAGAACATCATATTCAGATTTCCAAGGAAGACTTGATTAGTGATTGAGTTATTTTACCTCCCCCCCCCCCCTATCAAGTTGAGTGTTTAATAGAATCAGAATAGTAAGAGTCCAAAATATTCGGCTTTCACGAGATGAAATCCTTTTTGTACTATATTACTTAATTAATTACTTGTTTTTTTCTTTTAATATTTAAAAAAACACGTACAACAAATATGTTTCGTATTTTTAACAACTTTAAAAGTTTAATTAAAAAAAAAAGGATATCACTAATCTTAGTCACTTTAACTTTTCAAAATAACGTTTGTCTATTACTGTTCGGGTTTTTACGTAATTTTCTTTTACATGTTTATCGTAGGCCCAAATGACATTTTCTGTGCTGATTGGACGATAAGAGTGTAATACTAAAATTAGTTATTAATTAATAATTAAGAAATGTATCTGTTTTTTGGGGGATTCCTATTTATCAAGAAAAATATAACCAATATATTTTAATGTTAAATTAAAGAATCACTGTAAGTAATAAACAGCTTTAATATATGATCAGTTTCTTAGAGGTGATTCATAATTAATGCCAACTAGAATATGGAAATATGTAAAATACTAATAATGTGTAGTGTCCGTCGATAAAACGTGAACAAAACTAATGATATTTACCAGATAACAATCATTTTAATAAGTATCAACCAAAGAAGTACAGGAGTAAATTTCGCGTTTTGTTGATGAGGCATCTTTACACTGGTGTCATGCCCGTGGCTGGAGCAGTCGATGGGCTAAGGTCGAAATGTCCCACAAGTTCTTGGAATCTGATTGGTAGAATACACAAAAAAAAATGAAAATGTCATGAAATGCACTGCAGCATCAACACGCAAGACCAAAATCGAAATTTAAAGTCAACAGGACAAAACAAAAAAGGATTAAAAAAAATACTGTTGTCTCCAACGCAATACCAAGCAAAACCATTTGTTTTCCGATGATTTTAAGACTCATTAAGAGGTAAGGAAATGGAAAATCCTTCTGGATTGGAGCATCGGAATTTTCCCAATTTATTTGTGCAATGACATTGTTTCCTAAGATGACGTCACGCAAGTATTATGGGTTCAATATTTACACTTATGGTATTCTTTCTTTATTAACTGACATTCAATTGTATATGGGGTTTTTTTTAGAACGAAAAACTGTTGTTAATCAATTGCTTATAATCACTGTTTTGATTGCGTTTTTACATTTAACACAATAACAAAATAGTTGCCCGTTTGGAAAAATGAACGTAATAATCCCACAGGTGACAGCAATAGATGCATAAAATCCCCTAACTGTATGAATTTAATGGAAAAGTACTGTTTAATTTCACGTTTCATAACTAGCTAAGTGTGTTTATTATGAATATAATGTACCTTTAGACATTGAAAGTGCAGACTTATTAAAATGGCGAATAAAAATGTCAAATTTCTTCGTGGCCTTATCAAATTTTGAAATTGACGCTCTCTTACAGTCTATTGCAACTTTAAATTGTATCTGACACTAGTCATACTTAAGTAGAACAAATGATAAGAAGTTCACCAGGTCATGGTGAATGCGTGCTACATGAACGTATTTAGAACTTCAAACCTCACGCAATGCTAACGCATACATTTCCCACACGGAGGCGTGTCCTTATCTGAACTTAGCTGATGATAGGAAGCTTAACCCTATAAAACCAAACGAAATAATAATTCCACGTTCAAAAAGGATTGAGAAGTTTCAATACTGCAGGTTGTGTATAAGCTGTAATTCGTCAATCGCAGTGAAAACGGTTTGTTTCGATAAATATTAGTAAATGTCAGTTGCATGCTCTTCTAATCTTTTCAAATTTATATGAGATTGAAGTATTGTGCATTTAATCAGCTTACATGGTTTAAATATTGTCACCACCCAAATATTATAAACATACAGTTTCAAAGCCGTAAAGATTCGTATCGAACCAATACAGTTGCAAAACACTGACATTAAATTGATAATTTGCCATTTTGGGGGCTGTGAAATATGTACTGTAGACAAACGTTTTAAGCACTTTTTTCATGTTCAGTTTGTTTTTATCTTTACATTATATCCTTGTTCTACGGCATTACAAATGCATCGCACCCTGACGGAATATGTCATATGTTCAATTGTTCCCAGTTTTATAAAACATCACTGGCAACAAATATTGTCAGATAATATTAACAATAAAAGGATTCGAAAATCCTTATCAAAGATAACGTATAGAGAAGGTCGTCATTCACGACTTAACACAGGACATACTATTATACTTATGTGTAGTTGCTTCGGCGAGAAGATAAGACCTTTAACATTCAAATGACGAACATATGGCTATGCCCCACATATGTACAAAAGTGCTGATCTTAGACAGAGTCGAGACCAATGTTTTGATGTCTAATTTGAAAATATTATTCCACACAATAGTTTTCGAACATCTGTGTGAAATTGGTCTATACTATCAAATTAAAACTTGGGAAATTAATTTGCAATTAATATTTTTCCTTCTTACGTACACAGTGATAAACGTTTTACTCTTCAGTGTCTTTTTGGTGTATTTAGATTTGTAATTGAAGAAAATGTTACTTACTATTGCTGTCAGACCGATATGATTTCACCGTTGCTTGGCCGTTAAGCAATCAATTAATAAACCTAATGTTAACTTGTTGCTATTATTTCATCTGTATATATTTGTTTTAATGAGGTTTGACGGCCCATTTTTTATGGATATTATGGAATAAAATATACTTTCCATATAGTGTTCATTTACTCGACCGCATTAACTTATTAACTTTGCAGTGTCAAACATTTTAAAATTAAATTCTTTGTTAATCAATCTAGCACAGTGTAACAGACAATAAACAAAATTACTCTTTTTGAATAAATTAAAACAAAGGAGTAAATTTATCTAACTCTAAACAAAAATCTAGCTTTCTCTTTATAGGATATTATTCTAATCAAGCAATTAAACAAACAAAAAATATAATATAAATAAAATCCTTTAAATAAGTATTCATAATCAACCTGAATACCGAGTGAATACACAAATAGGCAACATGAAATACCCTGCCCTATTTAGAATTTGTCTGAACCAATTTAAAAGTCAACTTAAGTTTCATAAACAATAAATTTTATAGCGTCTTTTCATTGGCCAGAGTTTTGCATGCGTAAGAGAACGGCCAGACTTTGATTATTAGATAGTTTAAGTCATGTTATTTGACACGCCCTCAATTACTAAATATGTGGTAGAATAGATATAGCAAATATATGTTTGTACGTTACGATAGAATATATAACTTGTCATTCGAAAATGATTGAAAAATAATTAAATTATCCCATGATATAGGCTATATTTTACCATAATGGCATGATCAGTTGTGAAAGGATTTTTTTTAAATTATTAATAAATGACTACCTGACTACAGAATTACACTTACGAGTGACAGACAAGAGGACAAGCGGTGTGTCCTAATGTATTGGTGGATCCAGTGCTGAACTGGGTATCGACGAGACTATTACACTCTTTCTCACACTCAGCCTCGCGCTCATTAGATCCCATGCTGTGGTACAGATCGGTCACGATGGTCTTGATCTCATCAACGTGGAAAATGTTTACTGTAATAGAAATTATAAGAAAATAACATTTTGTTATACTGGATAATGTTTGGTTTTATTTGATATTAAAATTGTTAAAAGCGGTTCAGTTTCAATATCAAGAGTTTTCCTGTACATTGATATATTACGTGGGATATTATTCACGAACAATGACTACACCTACACTATGTACAAGTCTTAACATAGACTGTATTAAAATATTAAATAACAATTGGCTAAAGTTAACTGCAAGGACTATTTTAATGACTCTTTTTTTATTAAACTTCAAACATTGTTACTCTGCAAAATGAGATATTATCTAATCGTTTATAATATGTAGATTAAGCACACTGAATACGGCACAACATTTTATTAACTAGTCATATGATGACTAACAATACAGCATTCTATTCGACTAACAAGATGAAATATTTTTCTATAATTGATCGACATAAGTAGATACCATTCATGAAACAAACGGGTAAACTTACAAAATGGAGTGAATCTTTTGAGAGAATATGAATAAAAATTACAGAAAACAATGATTTCAGCATTTGCTTCGAGATTAATTTGTGAGATTTCAACGAGATGAGTTGAATGCAGATTTTGTGTGGTTTTGTGTTATTAAAATATCATAATCCCAATTCAGTGAAGATCATCCTGAAAACAAAACAACAATCAAATTAAGCTAGTTCGCAGCTTATGTCATAATTAATATAATACCTGATATTATTTAAATGCAAAACATCAGTAGAGATACATTTGGTATCTACTTACAAACGGCGTTCACCAGGGGGTTTAGGTCCCGCTTGTTGGTTGACCCTGTTGGTGCTGGAGTAGCGGAGACATCGAAGTGATGGACAAGCTCCTGGAATCTGTACATATACAAACTTGTTAATGATACTTATCTTAGTGCAGGTCAAACACTACTGAATTCCATCGTATTTTGTGTGTGTGTGTGCGGGGGGGGGGGGGGGGGGCCCCCCNGGGGGGGGGGGGGGGGGGGGTACCTCCTCTTAGAGTCGATGCAGATGCAACTGAAGTGAGGCTAAGTACTATCATTGCCCGAGTAAATCGTTTCCTTAAAGCAACTGTAAAATACTCCGAGAAACATAGTTCAAACTGATGTCTGTTCCCATGGCATTTAAACACTCAGAATATTTTCTATTTCTTTAATTTCTAAATTGTTTGTTCAAGAAGTCCAGCAAGACTTTTTTTCAGAAATAATGTATACAAGCCTTTACCATGCCTGTCAAAAGCTTCGGTTTAAATCACATTGTTGAGAATGACCAATCTTAGATGGAACAGTTATATAATTTATTGACTCTAATACACTACCTCCAGCATCCATACACATATGCACTCATGCAAATTACACACACGGAGGCACATCATTAAAATACCTTCTAAAATAACGATTCACTAAATTAAATCAAACTAGTTTAATTGTATGAGCATGTCTTATATGTAGCGTCCAGTTGTTACAGGGAGATAGCTCTTGAAATATTATGTTTCTGTTTCCATTCTAAAAAGATATGATAAAAGGGTTAATGGATATTATCAACATTTACCGTTCTTCTAAATACAGAATTTAAACAAATTTACATCTGCAGGCATTGTATTGAACTCAAGACAATCTCTTACAGTAGTCAGATATTAAAATATTTATATGGGCGGAGTCAGCAATTGCATTAGAAGCGATTTTTATCTCTTCACAAAGGATCAACACTGCAATGTAGCATTTATACTAAGAAAGAACAAACATCTGTAACCTACGAGTGACAGATGAGAGGACAAGCGGTATGTCCGAGGGTGTTGATAGTTCCGGCGTGAAACTGGGTCTCAATAAGATTGCTGCACTCCTTCTCACATTCACCTTCACGCTCATCAGATCCCATGCTGTGATACAGATCGGTCACAATGGTCTTGATCTCATCAGCGTGGAAAACATTCACTGGAAATACGAAAAGAAAACAGATCAATCTTGGAAAAAGCTGCACTCCTTCTCACATTCACCTTCACGCTCATCAGATCCCATGCTGTGATACAGATCGGTCACAATGGTCTTGATCTCATCAGCGTGGAAAACATTCACTGGAAATTCGAAAAGAAAACAGATCAATCTTGGAAAAAGTTATGTAGCAAACCAGCCTTTATAGCTGTTAAAGGAGCAAAAACGCACAATCTAGTTAAATAGATATTAGGTAATTGGACTTTTACCGTTGGTATATTTTAAGTATCTGAATATTTCATAAACCGGTGTATAACTTGTTTGGAAAAGAAAGTCCATCGTTATATAAACGATGATAAAATGTCCGATCTGCAAGGGATTAAACACTTATAGCATCAGTATGGATACCTATATTAGTGAAGACAAATTTCACAAGAACAATCACAAGTAATCCTAATATTACAAGCGCGAAAAGCGCCTGAGTGTAAAAAAACCCTACTAAAATTGATACATTTACAGTGAACTTGAAAGTTGTCATGGAATTAAACTTGACACTCCTGGTTCGACTAAGATTCACTCTTTATACATTAAAACTGTATGACAAATAATAGTCAACATTGTACCGATTAGAAAAAGAAATGTTTCATGAAAAGTGCTGGAAAAAGGAATGAACTGTAATTATGGAAAAAAGGGATCTCAAGAAGAGTTTAATCGTATATATGTCCGCGTACAACTTTCTTATTCAGCGAGCTCAGCAAATAAAACCAGATAATTTACTTCAGTTAATTAGTCACAAGCAGTTGAAGGATAAAATGTCCCAGTATATTTAGTAAAATACGATGATATACACAAAATCAGTATAAAAGGATAAACCATAGCTGCATAGAATGTATGTTTGGACAATTCAAAACAACACAGTTAGCAAAATGGTAAAGGTGTTTCAAAGTAGGAAAATGAGAACTATGACTATCTATAATCTGAAGTCGATATCTGTTATTCATAAAAAAAATGAAAATGACGCATAAAATTTCAACATGTACATGGATACAAACATATAGATATAACAATGATTGTCTTACAAATAGAGTTGAGGATCAGGTTGGAAGTCATTGAGCGTTTAGCAGCACTTGTACCAGCAGCGGGAACGGCAGTTTGAGGGGCGATGTCGTAATGTTTGACGAGTTCTTGGAACCTGCCAAGTTAAAGACAATTATAATGAGCATTAGAGAAAACGTATATCTCAATAAATGTGTCTTTTTTGAAATTGTGAACAAATTCTGGAAGTAATTTTCAACATTCTCACTTTTATATCCTCACAGATAATCTCAATGAAAACAGAAGTAATAAAAAATCATTTGATAACATCCAAGTGACAAAAATTGAACAAGTTTTGCGTGTAGCTTACGAAATATATTCTAATTCGAATTTGATACAATGTTTTCTGTGTATTAGATAGGACAAATGGCGAAAGTGGTAAAAATAGGTAGACAAAAGAAATAGCTGGATGTAGTTTTGAAAGTATTTTTGTTTTAAATTAGAGACTATCCAGCCAGAAAAAAGTAACATCATTGAACAGTAAGTGACCATACATGCATATAATTATTTGTTATTTATTACAATTTCCCGAAACGTCCAGATGAGCGGAGTAAAAGAAGGAAGAAAGCTCTTCTGATCAATTTTAATATTTTGTTATAATATTTCGATGATTAGGAATTTTGTATAAACAGTCGAAAAATATTTTGTATGAAACAAAGGTTTTCCAACTGTGTCATAAAACAATATGATTGGATCTGACCAAACATTCTAACGTCAATTAATATCTTTTTGTCAGCCTTTTTTTCTTCACTTTTATGAATATTTGTATGGCAGTGTACTAACTGCTGTTGCGATAATGTTTGGTCAGCAGAACGAGATGCTATATGTTCAATTGAAGGAGACGTATCAGGACAGTGTGCACTTATCTAAGTTTTCATTGTGAAACAACTTAAAAACATGGGTGTTTAGTATGTCTACATACGAGTGGCAGATGAGGGGACAAGATGTGTGTCCAAGGGTGTTAATGGTTCCGGCATGGAACTGGGTCTCAATGAGATTACTGCACTCCCTCTCACACTCAGCTTCACGCTCATCAGTTCCCATACTGTGATACAGATCGGTCACAATGGTCTTGACCTCATCAGCGTGGAAAACATTCACTGCAAAAATAAACAAGAGAACATGCTTGAACGTTAGGACATTTTTAAAACATATGAATTGCATCTCAAATACAATATTTGATATGTACTTGTTACCGAAAGTTTATGCATTTTACAACAATTATGAAACAAGTTATTACAACTTATATTATTTAGTCTTGTTGGCGCGCTGGGAGGTTCTTGTGGGAGTAAACTGGAGTACCTGAGAGAAAAACCACGTGGCCAGGCAGATGATCCCAAAACGAAAGTTTTAAACGCATATCCTACCCTTTATGATAATTTCGTTTTTACCAATTTATTTGCTCTAAAACTTCGATGATCAGGCAAGGCGATGATCTATCATTTGTTGCCAATTTATTCACATTTGGGTAAAATGTAAGATGTAATTCCATTGGTTTACATACAGGTCATTTGACCTGTATATGAACATTAGCAATACACGAAATGTTGCGGGGGGAAAAAGCTTTGTGACGTCATATATTTTTGGGGGAAGTCGTTGTAATAAATAATACTTTTAAACTGGAAACGTCAGTGATTTGACTTCTTGAAATATGTATATATATATATATATTGAATGGTAAGTATGATATGTTTTCAAACTATTATTTAATAACTTTAACTTTAAGTAAAGTTTTTTGGCAATTAAATACTTTTAAACTTTACTGGCAAACGTTTCGTGTAATCTATTCAAGCAGATAAACGAAATTTTACGGCACGTCTATTGTGTTTTAATTTATTTTTTTCTTAAATTACGTTAACATCCTGTACATGGCTCTTATTTGTGATACAGCACGTATTGTTTGAGAAAACAAGCTCGTATAGTAAAACTCAGTCATCGTTCTCACTCGCGATTTAAAATCTTTACAAAGCAACACAGTCTACAAAGTTGGTCATACACCACAATGCGTTCAATATCTTTGATTACAAACAACAGTAGTCAATAGAATTCACGAAACCACCGCGACACATTCGATAAAGTTTGATAGGCCATTTATATTTATTGTACATTAAAAGATAAATACCAAGCTGATATAAAGAATGTTAACCATGCACTAAAAATAAGATAAATAAAGTCTTACAGATGGAGTTCAGTACGGTGGAACCGAATGAGCGTTTGGCACTGGTACCAGCAGATGGGGCGGCGGCGGGGGCGATGTTGAAATGTTTGACAAGTTCTTGGAATCTGTTCAGTCCAAAAAGAAAACAATAATATCAGTCAAAATTAACTTAATTCGTTATCAGATTTTTTTTTTTTTTTAATTGTTTAAATTTTTTCCCTACCGATTTTCACATTTAGTATCTTCGCTGTGACTTCTTGGGAGGATAATGCAATGTTTAAAAACAAACTGTAATAGAAAACCAATGTACAACAATAAAAATGCATATACCATCAAACTTAATAATAACCTGCAAGAAAACTGTCGTTAGTCTAAACTTTGTTATAAGATTAATACCACAAAATATATTCATATCACCAAATTTTATGAAAAGACAAACATCTAAGTGTTCAAAGGGAAGTGACCGAATCATCTTTGCTAAACAATGCAAAGGTTACAAAACAAATTACAATTGAAAAAAATCAACCATCGCTAAAAAGAGTTACATAATAATACCTTACATGAAAAATGTTTTGATTGTTTTTGGTAGAAGATATAAATTGCAAAATACGTGTATATTCAAATAAAATTACTTTCTTTTTCTTGATTGTCGGAGGCATACATTGACGATGATGTATAAGAAATATGATTAAAAATCGTGAGAAATTACTTCTATGGCCGATTCAAGTTGTTAGCTATTCCAATAATTGAAAATCTACCTTAAATTTGAGGAGTAAAGTAACCATTTGAATACCACTTTAAACATAGATGACAGTACCAAAGTACTCATGCAATAAAGTACAACTACGGTATCCATTTGCCGTTACACACACATATTTTCTTGTCGTATATTTTGGTTTTCAAATGCGATTTAAAAAAATCATTAAACGACTAAATACACCTAACGAATTGGATTAACAGTTCTAAACGTCGGTTTAATAAGTCGTTTTCCACATTAAGCATCGAAGAAAAAGACATAAATGTGATGGAAGGTCGGACAATAAATCATTTGAAACATAGATAAACTATTAAAAATATGCAATTGTAATAAACAATAACGTGTTATCTTAAATTTGATATGACCACAACAAATGCATGCTGTTCACTAGGCGGACGTTAGTTTGGCTGTTTTATTTTGTTTAACGTCCTATTAACAGCAGAGGTCATTTAAGGACGTGCCTACATATGTGTAATGAATGTGTGCCTGTATGTATGTGTGCTAAGCGAACGTACGAGTGACAGATGAGTGGGCAGGAGGTATGTCCGATGGTGTTGAAAGCACCGGTCTGGAACTGGGTATCCATAAGTGTGTTGCATTCGCTCTCGCACTCAGCTTCACGCTCGTCAGTTCCCATGGAGTGGTACAGATCAGTAACAATGGTCTTTACCTCGTCAGCATGGAATACATTCACTGCATAACATACAATATTCGATAAATATTCCTTTTATATCAAAGATGAACATCAAACACACACACATGTGATTGCAGAATTATTGTTCAAAAGAAAGGCTAGACTGATTTTGCAAATCTATCGATGTAGATGTAAACATTTTTTCTCGCAGAGTGATTTCCAGGAAATTGAAATAACTGAGGAATGTATGAATTAATGTAAGTTCGTTGCCATTCTCACGCTCATTCCTAAAAGCAAAGATGCCGATACAAAGAATTCATAAAAATAAAACGATTTTAAAATCACAATTCAAAGTAAATATTTCTATATGGTATAATATTTTTTACACAAAATTACCAACCATGTTTTTTTTTCAATTTTATAAGGGATTTATGTAGTCCAGTTCCTTGCTGCCAGTTCTTATTGATATCAATGCACATTTAATTACCGAAAATATGTGTGAAAGTAGTACATTGTATAAAATAGAAAAATAACTAAATTATAGTGTATGGGTACATTTCAGGATCAGTTTGACAGACTTATACTTACAGATGGAAGACAACAGAGGGTTAAGACTGAAGGCTCTTTTGACGGGAGGAGATGCGACAGCAGTCGAGGGTGTTAAATCATAGTGGTGTACCAACTCCTGGTATCTATAACAAATATACATAGAAGTTATAGCTAATACAATGGAACTAATATTGTAATGGCATACAGTATATTAAAGATAAAAAAGCCGCGCACGATCTATATTTTGTACACAGTTTTCACATGTGATATACAGAACACGACGTGTACAGAACCAAAAAGGCAACTTCTGATATAGTTAACACAAAGACTACCACAGATATACAGAACACAATTAGCACTGCTGATATACCGAACACAAAGATTACTTTTGATTTAGAAAACCCAAAATGCCCTTTATATATACAGAACCCAGAGTGCACTTCTAATGAATAGAACACAACGTACACTTTTGATATAGAGAACCCAAAGTGCATTGCTGATCAACAGAACACAAAGAGCACTTTTTATATCGAGAACCCAAAGTGCACTTCTGATGAAGAGAACCCATAAAGCACTACTGAAGTACAGAACACGAAATGCACTATTGAAATTTAACACAGAAAGCACAACTGATTTTCAGGTGAACGCATCGAGCCGCATACGAGCAGACACATTTGAGAAACAGAGGGGCGAACTGGTTATCTAAACGGACTTACGAGTGGCAGATGAGTGGACAGGAGGTGTGTCCAATTGTGTTTAGGGATCCTGTAGCGAACTGGGTATCGACTAACTTGTTGCACTCGCTCTCGCATTCAGCTTCACGCTCATCTGTTCCCATGCTGTGATACAGATCAGTCACGATAGTCTTGATCTCATCGGCGTGAAAAACATTCACTGGAAAAAAAATAAAAAATGGAACCCTAATCTCCTGGAAGATACCAACTCAACTGTTATATTTGTGGGCGTCATTTAAGGTTTAAAACAGACATACCAAACATTTATGTGATTATTGTTCTCTTACCTACAAGAAGTTCCTTAACATATTTTTCGATGACAGACATTGCCTTTCGTTGATTTCATATACACATGCTGTTAAAATGTAAGGGATACAGCTGAAGTTGGTTTTTTTTTAACTTAATATGCAGGTCAATCCTTTTATGAACCGTTCTCCATACACAAACGATAACGGAAATATGCTTTGTGACGTCATATTGACATATTAACTTTCCCCTACATGAGTTAGTTGATTGGCCTATGTATAGATATTTAGATACTGAAAGATTGGTTTATGATGTCAAAGGGGATGACACGTAATCCTTCTTAGTCATACCACTACATATACAATATCTTAAATAACAATTCGTAAGTTACTATTTAACATGATGCTGTTTGTAAAATATCGATGTTGGTTCCTTATCTGAGACATCATGTCCAACTACCAAATCTAAACTGAAGGCTACCAATAAAACCGTTTCATAAAGCCGTTTCGATAGCCTCAAACAAGTATCTAACACACAGCAAGACTATCGCTAAAATTTGATTGATATATCGCAACATAGTTGGTAAAATACCGCAATGTATTCGGTGAAAATTTGAAATATGTTCGTTTATGAACTGCAGCCGACATCTTGGATGCATTTTGAACAAATTGTTAAAAACGGATTTATGAAATGTTTACACGCATATAGACTAGATACAAAATTGAAGAACTTACAGATGGAGTTTAATACGTTGGAACCAAATGAGCGTTTAGCACTGGTACCAGCAGCGGGGGCGGGGGCGGCGGTGGGGGCGAGGTCGAACTGTTTGACGAGTTCTTGGAATCTGTCGAGCGAAAATAAGAAAAAATATCATTACAGATATAAAAATGATCTCAATGGAATTTTGGATTATAAAATTATTATTTTTCCTCCAATTTTCTAATTAGTGTAATTGTTATGATAAAAGCTGGCCAGGTTGTTATGGATTTATGATTATGTAGATTTTAGCCTTTTCCAATGAAGTTTCTTTGGTTGGGTACGTGTATATACATGTTTTTACCGTTTACAATTTAGTTTCTTTGTGTGTTTTAACTTGTGTATATACACATTTGGACATTTTACAGTTAAGTCTCTATGAGTGAATGAAGTTGGGTTAGTGTCTCTTGTTATTGTTGTTATGTCCAAAGTGACTTCTAAATTGTATGATTAAAAAAATAAACTACCTATCTAGTAAATAGAACACCATAAAATACATGTTGTTCACTAAGCGTACGTACGAGTGACAGATGAGTGGACAGGAGGTATGTCCGATGGTGTTGAAAGCACCGGTCTGGAACTGGGTATCCATAAGTGTGTTGCATTCGCTCTCGCACTCAGCCTCACGTTCATCAGTTCCCATGGAGTGGTACAGATCAGTTACAATGGTCTTAACCTCGTCAGCATGGAATACATTCACTGTAATAGAAATCATAAATAATGTTTTTACCAAATTCATGCAAATTGATAAGGTTAGACTTATTTAATGTAAGGCTATTTTACTTTTGTGGAAGAGAGTGCATGCTATTGAACTTTAAACCAAATCTTGTTTAGGAGTATACTGTAGCATAATATTGCATATTTAAAACAAAACAGATTTCTGAAAACCTTTTCCGGATGTTTCTTAAAAGAACATTCCTGACGTCACAAATAGACGTCGGCATAAATTGATGACGTCAGTTCAATTTTATTGGTAAGGAAGGACGAAATATTTAATGTATATTTACATATAAATTGCTTTGTATGCACAAATACGTGAGCTTTTTTCAAGAATGAAGTTTGAAAAACACAGACACGAAATGCTGCTGGGTCAACTGATTGCAGAAATCATTTTATCATTCAAAAGAAAAGGACTGTTGTGTAAGACTGTTATTAACTGCATGAACTAATAGAAATAATTATCATAAATATCATTATATCAATGTCAAAATAACAAAGTATGCCATGGTAGTACATACTGTACGTGTAAACTGTGGGTGAAGCCTAACGCAGGTTCGAGGAACGAATACACCTGTTGTATCCTACTTCATGTCCTATGTGGTGACTTATGTGATCCCAACCATCATCACCCCGAACCCAACCCCCTCCACCACCGTTCTTCCCCGATTTCACCCTACTAAACCCCAATTGCATAAATGGGGAGTTCTCGATGTCTTCTGTCAAAAAATCATTGAACTGAATAAACCAAAATGAACCTTCTGCCCCCATTGTAACACTTTGGATTTTGTTTACTTTTCTCTCTTACAGTACACCTACTTTCTTTTTCTTTATTGTTTTCTCTGTCTTCATTTGACCTGAGCGTTTGCAAGAATTTCAAACCCAATACAAACAAACAAAATCTTGGTGGACACTACGAAATCTGAGGTTCAACATCACAAGCTTGATTATTAGATTTACGGTCGAGATAGATTCAATGGGGCATTGTCTTCCTTATCTTACACTTATATAAATAAGCTGTTAGAAGCCCGTGAGTAGTTGTTCTGCATGCAAACCAATTGGTCCTCGGACAGATGAAAATGCAGTTGATCTTTAATTATGTGTGTGTCTATTTTTTGTTTAAACAAAGAACAGTTGTGTTTTGTTATTTAAGGAACTGTCAATTTCTAATCTTTTCACAGTATATAGTTTCCGATTAAATCAGACCTCTGAGTGATGCCAGGGGTGTAATTAACAGTGCAGTATTGAAAGTAGACAAATTTCTCTTCGGCCCATTGGTTTATTCTTTGTTTATATAATTGTTTGTATCAAGCCCATGTATATCAATTATAAATATCAGATGCCTAGATTTGTATTTTCAGCAAGCCCATGTATATCAATTATAAATATCAGATGCCTAGATTTGTATTTTCAAATTTGTTGTTGAGTAAAATCAAAATTGCATGAATAATTCAACCTTTAGTTTAAGTAAATAAACACAGGACAGAAAAAGACTGTGTAGTGATATATACGTAAATTTCCATGACAAATGCTTTAGTTTGCTCACAACACTTTACGCGAAGTATTGTATAAGGTGAAATTGTCGCCCTTTAAGGGGATTAATTCTTTTTCGCCCAATATTAACTTCGCTCATAACATTTCTTTACTATAAAGATTATGTTAGCTAAAAGTGTTCGCTGTAATGATAAATTCGCCCGTATAACGGAGAGCGAAAAAAGCGAAATCAAAATGCAACGAAAATATCTCGGTATACAGTACTACCTAAATATTTTCTTGCGAAAATGCAGTTGACTTCAGTATGTTCGATACGAATGAGGAATGTTAGCATGAACGTACGTAATTGTCATTGTTAAGTACTGATATAAAGGACATATTTGTTTATCACGTTATCTAACTGTATGACATTTTTTTCACAAATTCAAACACAACGATTCCCTCACACCGTGGATTCATGAAGTTAGCTCAGTGTTTTAAGTCTTGTATGGATTTCATTACGCAAGTCCTTTTCGAAAGTAATTAAGATAGTGCTACACAGTGTATTATACAAAAAATATAGAAATAAAAACTTATGATAAAAGACTAATAATACATAATTTACCAGGAATTACATACATATAGGATCTTACATGAGTTTCTATTTCATATGAGATTTATGAAACGAGTCTAAGATCTTTTCAAAAGGCGAGCTAAAATGAAAGATTCGTGATTAGTTTCACAAGTTTCATATGAAATGAAAACGAGTGTAAGATCCTTTTTATCACATTATCAAGATTTGTGGCATTTATTCATGTAAAACAACAATTTCCATGCAACCTTTAACTGTAAAAAGCCGCCATTTTGACTCAAGTGCGTAGGTCTGTGACGGCATGTACTTTTCCTATGCGTGACGTCACAATTGAAACAATTGAAACTTACAACCAGTCACAAGGCGGATAGGTCATATTACAAATTTCATATTATATTTACAAAAAATATGACACGGGTATACTCACTGGATAACACAGTACGTTATGTGATAAAAATAAATACTTACAGATTGAAGTCAGCAGAGGGTTTAGACTGAGAGCCCTCTTGCTGGGAGCAGATGTTGCAGCAGTCGATGGTGCTATATCGAAATGGTGTACCAACTCCTGGTATCTATAACAAAAACACACAGAGATAAATACATAGTATTAATGATTTTAAAGCACCACCAGCACAAAGAGTGTATTACTTACTCAGAACTTAATTAAAACTAGATGGTCAGCGTTTACAATTTATAAACAAAGACCGCAAGAGTGCAGACGAGCAGAATATGTCTCGTCACAGATTCACGTCTGATACAGACAATCAAAAAGCATGGAGTCAATCAGTACAAACCATTCTCGGGTCAAAGATGACCATTCAATCTTTAGTAAAACTTTAAGAATTGTTTGAGAGACCTGACGAGCAGGCACTCAAGAAATAGACGGGAAGACACTTTTGAATCACCGCCAGAAGATAAGTTTCAACATAGACAGACTGGGATATACTTACGAGTGGCAGATGAGTGGACAGGACGTGTGTCCAATTGTGTTTAGGGATCCTGTAGCGAACTGGGTATCGACTAATTTAATGCATTCGCTCTCACATTCAGCTTCACGCTCATCAGTTCCCATGCTGTGGTATAGATCTGTCACAATGGTCTTGATCTCATCGGTGTGGAAAACATTCACTGCGAAAAGACATTATGCTTACATTTAGTTAGAAATCTACTGGGTTTTTTAACATTGATATTATCTGAAACTAATATTCTATCAGATCCATATCATCAAATTTCGGAGAATGATCAATGACCTTTTCGGTTTCTTTTGGTGTTTTTTAACGGGGGGGGGGGGGGGGGGGGGGGTTACTTTGGAGACGCGTTGAAATCCAATGTGCCTCAATCGAAGCCATTTCATATATTTGTATATAAGTTCTCTACATATATTTAAAGGCCATAGAGAGAGAATAATTTTGAAATTCATTTTTTTCGAAGATCATTTGTGTTTCCTTGGACGGCATTGCCAGTTTAATAAAATTATGTATGCCTTATGAAATTCGTCTGAGAAAGGAATCTGCTGCGCCCATTGCTATATTTTGGGGTTACATTTTTGTCTCTATTCCTTTCTACGTTTTCCCCCCTTGTGCTTTGCTTGGCTATACTTCACGTTTTGCGTAAGTGTTAAACGTTCGCTCAGGTGAGGAAGGTAATGGGTTTGATCTCCAGCCAGGACATACCAAAGTCTTTAAAATGGAAATTGGTATACCCTGTTTAACGTTCAGCAATTAGGAAAATGGCAACAATTGGTTCACCCATTGTTAGTATGATGTGACCGAGCGGATTCTATGCGCGGTGCTTTCGGCTTTGTATTTCAGTTAGATAGTACTAAAAGTCGGCAGAACATACTCGCTAATGCAAGGAGGCAACAACACCAACTTCAAGCACACATCCACACTTACAATTATATATTACACATATAGGGTCACGTCCTTAAATGTGGACGTTAGCTTTTAATAGAACGTTAAACCCTATAGAATCACACTAAACTAGCGCATTCACCATGACAAGTTAAATATACAACAAAAATATTGCTATTAACAATACAACGATTTTGCATGATTAGTAAAATAGCAGTAAAAAATTTCATAAAATAATGTTATGATTTGACAAAAAAAAATCGACTATTACAAACATGATTCAAGGTTCGAACTCCTTCAACAATGATTATACTGAAATGTTATTTTACAATTTCCTTTTTAAAAAATCCTCCAAAAACGTCCTGATGCAATGTTACAAAACACGAACACAACAAATGGTTTTGACATTAAGATCAGATGTTTTTGTTTCATCATTAAATTCTAATACATATTTTTTTCATTTTTCATTGAATTATTCAACAACTAAAAAATATCCACGTTCGCTTTATAATGTAGTATGATATCAAAGCTATTTATATGATCACCACGAACTTATAAAAATATAATTGCAGTTTCATATTAATTTGAATTGAAACACAACATAAACTCAAAACGCTTAGAGTTGCTTATTTCGCTTATCGGTGAAAAGCTATTTCTTAAATATAACAATTTTATAACGATAAATGAAACTGTCACTGATAACGCGGGTATTGCCACTAACAACGAATTGTTAGATTTTGTTGTTTTGCAAATGAAAAGAATTGTGTCTAAGTCGACATTCACGTTTTAAACTCTCACAGACCCCATTCTAAATGGAAATGAATAAACTTACTTGGTAGAACATATGGTATCACTCGGGTGAAAAGTCATGTTTTTGTCTATAATTTTAGCTTTTTTTCTGCTTGTGACTATCTAGATTAATTTATTTTGGTTCGTCAGTTGTATTTTAATGATTATTATTTTCACATGTTTTTAATTTCAAAATAAATACTGCTGCATGTTGTAGCACACCATTGGATAGTAATAATTCAAACTGCGACTAATTTTATATTGAACAATCGTATAATATCTTTTATATAAAGTTATGAATTTTTTTTCTATTTTGCACGTTATCCTTAACGGTTTTAAAGCAGAAGATATAGCATTGTCGTAGTTTGTGCGTGGATCTTGACACTTAGAGATGCATTTTATTTTCTTACTACACTGGAATATAAGTGAGTATAGTTTGTTGACAACAAATTTGAAGAATTCCTCTTAACGGTAAGAGACTATGGCTCCCCATGGCTCCGGGTTTTCAATTGTACATACCAGGCTTAAAATAGTACCTTTATTAAGGTTGCTATATGCTTACAAAGAATCCAGAGTTTACTTACAGAATGCATCCAAAAAAGGGTTGCTCCTCCTGTCGGGGGCAGCCATGGCCAAAGGCACCGCTAATAGAAGGAATCCTAAAACCTTCATTTCTACTGCAATGCAAAAATAATCTAATGAATTTTCATTCATATTCATATTAAACATACTTTTCATGCTAACTTTATATAATTCGTTATTTAAAATATCTGTATGCTTATTTAAAATTGCAAAAATGTTTTGTTAGGAAATGTTAGTAAGTATCTACAGCGATTTCAAGTGAAAGGGAAAAATATTTTGAAAATAACTGAAGTAACTGAAAATAGATAAATTTAACAAAAATTAAACGGTATGAAATAATTCATAATTTCTGCGGGAAACTCAAACGAACTTAATATTAAAATATTATCAGAAATGTTTATATGTAAATAATTAATTTTCGAATGCGAATTGTAACGCACTGCCTTTGGTAACTTACCTGTTGTTCAGCTACTATGCTATTTTGGAAAAGGTATAGAGTAGTGGTCAGTTTTATACTTGGCCTACACTATCAGTCACATCCAATCGCAATGGCCATGCCCTCTACAACCAACAGATGACCATTTCTCATACACTTCGTGACTGTCCGACTGGGGTTACCAACAGAACTTCTGATAAAGCTGGTCGATTCGTTGGAAAATATCATCCTGGGGTCATCTAAATGATGAGTCGATGTCGAATATCAAGATTAAGGGATATATGGTACCTTACTGTCAGAAATTTCACTGTAAAGTTGAAGATACCAAAAATACCGGTTTGTTCCATTTCATGATTATTTTAGGAGACTTATATAAAGTTTTATGTAAAATTGAGTGTTTTTTTCAGTGTTTCACTGTGTTACATGAACCTTTTGTTACCATGGTTCCTGTATTAATTTTTTTTTGTTGATATGTCGTTAAATTCAACAAATATTGTTAGGATATGAAATATGCATTTCATTTGGAAATATTGTTTATGAAAAATATGCATTTCATTTGGAAATATTGTTTATGAAAAATAAGACTGTGTCTTTTTAATAAAGACTGCAGTGCACTTAAGGTACATGTGTTTTCTTCGGGTATGCAAATATATATGTAGGCTCATGTAGCACAACCAATGAAATGTACATCATGTAAATTATTCATTTTCACAAGACATGTGACCAGTGAAGCGTATACACACTTACGGGTTAACTTGTAAGGATGGACATACATATATGTTCATAGCGTACAGGTAGATGAATCGGCTTTATTACATGACTGTCATCTCGTGCGTATATAACATATCTGTGTACATAGGCTTTACTTGACTTTGATGAAGATGACAGAGTTCATATCCTACAAGTATTTGTTTTTATTTTCTCTCTACTCCCTAACTAAATTTAGCTCACTTATAATCGTAGATGTTCAAGGGACGTTAAACAAAATAAAACAAAAACAAGCATGTGCGAGTACGTTGCAGGAGACGGTATATTTGTACACGTCTTGTTATGGGTACGTATTCTAACGCCTCATATATATTGCCATACTACTTGTATGAAACATCCCAGAAAAATTCAAACTACGACATATCATATTATATTCTACTCTAGTAGAGTTAAGCGACATGGATTTAGGACACAACGAAGCTCTGACGTCCATGGAATCTAAACCTATGACTTAGCGGTCAATAGGCCGGCGCACCTCAAGATGTGGTGTGCGGCCCCCTCTAAAATGTGCTGACACATTTTTATTCGTCTGTTGGATAACCGGACTACTCCGTAACCCTTTCTTTGTATTATTTGTTCATGATTTTAATTATCCCTTTGCTTTGGGTTTCAGTCAGCAGGAGATTTTATTATGATTATATAACAGATCCTTTTTCGAAGCAGTTAATATCTCTACAATTCTAACCTACCTAAAACTGTTGGTCTGTTCAAAAAGATATAACTAATCATAGCCACTTTTACTTTTTTGAAGTTGACGATGGTCTTTAACCTTTATCCCCGCTTGATGTTATTTCCTTTAGCATGTTTGTTCTACTTTGTGTTGGCCCTAAAGACCTGATACATATAGACCTTAAATAATACAATAACTAACGTTTATACGGAATTAACTGCAGATTTGAAATTTAAGTATACATATTTATCATTAAGACATTTTCTTTTTTTATATTTCAAACTTTATTAATCTTCTTATCAATATAACGAATCAGTTAATGGGACTTGTGATTTTTCCATTTGCATGTTTTTAAAATTTCACATTTACTGTGTTGGTCAATTTTAAATGATCAATTATACATGATAATGATGCAACTTTTCCGTCAATCTTTCTATTTTCAACTTATTATTTTTTGTTTGCATTTCCTTATACTTTTTGCTGTTTTTATCAAGGAAAACAAAATGTACACTGCCTTGCTAACAGCAGCGCAACATAATAGTTATATTAACCCTACCCAGGTACAGATACAATTAGCTCGAACACGTTAATATTCTGAAACGTCACCATCGCATCGATCCATTTATGTAGCGTAACCCGGATCACATTATCGCATTTGTCATGCGCTCTTGAAAATGTTGAAAGTTTAGGGTTTCGTCCTTGTAACTTAATTAAGTGGTCTTATGTCACCCGGCTAATATCTACATATGTATGTAAGCCTACGATTGTGCTGGAGATGAATAGTATTTTGTAATGACGAAATGGTATATTTTCTTTCTATTAATTTTGTAAACACCCGTAATATTAAGAGACTGTTGATGACAAATCAATTGAATCTTAAATCTTTGAAAAAATACTGACGTTATAATTCACCAATCGATAAGGTTATTTTCGCGTTTTGTTCGGGAAATTCATAAATGCGAAGCGTAAAATTCGCGGGAAACGGTTAGGTCTGTCTTGTCCGCTATTAATGTTGAAACGTTGTCGAAAATGCAAAAATTATAAAATGTATTTGAAGGCATTCTGTTTAGTCTCCTTGAATAGTTTGTTAAACGATAGTACTGATATTTTTAACCGGTTCTCAGACCTCCAACTTTATCTAGGTCAAGAATACCGTAGATTACTGTTTTTGGGTCAAAGTTGGAGAGATGGTCACGGTTTGATAAGGTGTATAGAACCGGGAAATTCGTGGTCAATACCGTGAAAATGTGACTGGGGCTTTAAAATAATGCCATGGGCTAGGATTTTTCACTGTCTCGTGGAGATTTGCGAAAAAAACACTCGCGAAAAGTACCTGGTGAAAAAGTATCATTTAGCATGATCACTTTTTTTTTAATTTTTTTTTCAAAATTAAACCTCTAATATACGTCTTCTACGTAAGCCAATAGCATCAATAGTAAGATATTTTGTATAGAAAAATCAAAGAGCTAACGCGGAAAACTGCCCATATTCCCCTAAATCGGCATTTATGAAAACGGGGAAAATATAAGGATCAGAGATCAGACATCCTTGAAAACCATACAACCGATCTAGCCGTTCAATTATTTTCCAATTTCATCTCAGATTCAGTTATTCTCATCATGGATGGTAAATATATATACATACAAAAACGAAGTAAGCACAGTTTTACTGATTTGGTTAAAATAGAAAGTGTACCGTATGATGGGTATATAACATGTACATGTATATAAAATATCTACTAGCGAATAAACCGATATCTTAAAACATGTATTCAGGTGTGTAGTATGGATAAGCGTATGCATACAAAGGTGTAAAATGTGTACGAGTTTTCCACACAATCGATGTCGATTCGGCTACGTTGTAAGCGCATGTACAATTATTGCTATATATGTACCAAAATTACTCGATTCAGCTACGCTTTGTTTAATACTTGGTCATAGATGTGCGAGGGTCTATGAGCCCCCTCATCTCGATTTAGAACTGGCCCACTGCGGCGTTTCCAGATGGCTTCCTTTATTTGCCACTTGAACAAATTGCTCTCTCTATGACCAAGTATTAACCAAAGCGTAGCTGAATATAGTCATTTCGGTACATATATAAACATTATTGTACATACGATTACATCGTAGCCGAATCGACATTACATACCGTACTAGTCATCGAAACGTCACATAGAAACTCTTATTGGTTGTGTAACAAAAACTTTTCATGATGAATAAACCGACACTTGTGAAAGACTGATTTCCTGCATTCGTGGGACGATATTTGTTAATGAATTACAGTCAAAGCGGAGTAGAGTCCGGAGCAATCCTTGACAAGACTGAGATTTAAGGAATGTCTTATAAGTGATAATGTTATATAAGTTACATGCAATCTATTCTTAAATACAAGTTAAACACCAAGAGCTTTGGAGACTGATTTGTTTGATAATTATCAATGAGATTGGATACATTGTATAAATGAAATGCTTTTGTCATGCATTTGATATTTGGTTTATCACAAAGCATACATTTATCTGGAACATTTTTATTATAATAGTTTGCCGTTATGTGTCGACGTGTTAATGAAATAATAACAGTTTGGTATAAACTGTATTTATATATGCTGGTTCGTACAAATGCATACAGGAGAGAACTGATATAGGCGTAGCCTGTTGTTCGATCACATGCATACACCATAAAGAATAACATGTGTTGAAATGAATGATTAAACCGGTCTGACCAGTGTTGTTGGTTTATGAAATAAGGTCGGATCAAGTAATGTGATTCTACGTTTAAACGTTCCTTGACAAAGCATTACAAGGCCTACATAAACATTTGCAGATCCCCTCGGATTTATATCCGAAAATATTACATTCAAAATACAGTCAAGCCGGTTGTTCCGCATAAACGAACAGGCCCTTACAGATTATCAGGTAAAACAGAATATGTATGCATGTACCTAAAAGACCTCCTGTCAAAGTTAGTTATTGCTTTTAGAAACAAATCTTTCCAGCTGATGCCCTTTGTTTGTGACACTTACATTTCTGACATAAGAATTTAAACAGCAAAGAGCTGTGGACAGCGAATTGAATATCAATAATTCCGTTTGCATGGAGAAAGAACAACCACATAATCCGATATGCATATTCACAATATCTGTTGCATTGGAGTCTTATATTAATTGTTTTGACAGTCATCAATAAACAATGATAATGTATGTACGATAGAATTGGATTCTTAACCCTCTCTCGCTCTCTCCAACACCCTGTCTCCCACTCCCATTATCTCTCACTCTCCCCCTCCCCCTCCAATTCTTTCTCCGACTCCCTGTCTCCCCATCCCTCTCCGACTTCCTACACATCCCACTCTCTCTAATCCCCTCTCTTTCCACTTTCAATGCACTGTATATCGGGTAGACTGTTAGCAGTTAATCCCTCCCAGTAACGCTTCTAATCCCTGTAATTATCGCTACCAGCACTTACGGCCGGTAAACAGTGCTCACAGTTTTCCCCAATGATTAAGATAGTGTATCGTACAATAGCGATACACAGGGGACTGTGACATATGTCAATTGCCTCTAATATTACATTGTAGATACCAAAGAGGTCTGACATATG